ATAATATGATAATTAAGATTTCGGGATCTTAGTATACATCACTTATTTTTATTAGCGGTACGTTTTTGTATATGATATGTTTATTTACTTTATCATTAAAAGTCTAAGTCAAAATCATTTATTTCAGTTAGACCAGGAAGGCACTTTTGAACGTCAACAATATAAATTTAAAAGTGAAGCTATTTGCTCATTCCAAGGTGTAGATTCCTATGGAGAAGAACAAGCAAGAAACTCTATAGGTTAGATACTCTTTTCCAATCAGGTTACAATACAATTTTATTTTACAATACAAATCGACTCCATGCATCCACTGTTCTGTTTAAACAAATATTTGTGCGTGTGTTGGCGCGGCTTGGCCAAGGGATCGCCAACACACGCACAAACATTGGTGGCGTATGTTTATAATTGGTAATTTTGTCTAATTTGATATTATTTACTAGTTCAAAAGCTTAAAATATAACTTATACTTTATGTACTTATCAAAAGTAAGACACTCCGGCCGTTATACTGCTTTTTCGGTTATAATTTTTCCACGCACTGCGGCATCGTGAGACGTCAGAACGTTGGCCGTGTTTGGAGCATACTAAACAAAATAAGAGCTCACTTATCAAGTGAGCTCTTATTTGGCGAGACGATTTTCTTGCGCCGACCCGATATCTAGTTGTTATTGTTGATCGAAGGATTACATGTAAACCAAACAATTTAAAAACAAAAACGCTTTCTAACTTGAAATAAAATAAATCCACAATCAAACAACTTTTAGCAGTAAAGAATGTTTCATTTTCTTAAAAAAAAATGTTGCCCCACACTAGGATTTTCACCTGTACCGTGGGAGTGTTTACAAACATACAATATCATATACAAGTGACAGCCAAACCCGGAACAATTTGTGGATCACACAAACAGTTGCTCCGTGCGGGAATCGAACTCGCTACACGATGCGCGGCAGCCGGTTGCCCAGCTACGACGCCAACCAAAATTCACACCTTACTTGCGTAAAATGATGCAAACATAGTCCTTCTCAGAAGTAAACATAATGTACCTGGTCCTCATGATTCAAAGCCAGGTCCTGTAGTACAGTGACATATGCGAGCAGTATCTGTTGCGTGTGTTTCTGCAAGATGGCGGCCGGCTCGCTGTGCTCGGCCAGTAGCGGGCTCTCGCGGCGACCACTCGTCACCACGCACTTGTGGATCGCTGAGAAAGCCTCGTTCAAGTATGTTTCTAGTAGATTTGGCTGAAATCAATTTATATTGATGGTGAATATGTTTAAAACTCTTTTATTATATTTATTTATTATACATACATATGTATTACGTATATACGGGCCCATTCATATCCGCTCTGTATACTTCTCTCGTTACTCTACTTTCATCCACCCTTTCTACATGTCCAAACCAGCGTAATATTCCCTTTTCAATCCTTGTCACTACATCATCTTTCAATCCACACCTTACTCTAATAACACTTACACACTCTAATTTATCATCAATACATAGTATAAAACAAAGTCGCTTTCGCTGTATGTCCGTATGTATGCTTAGATCTTTAAAACTACGCAACGGATTTTGATGCGGTTTTTTTTGATAGATAGAGTGATTCTTAAGGAAGGTTTGTATGTATATACATATTGCACCCGTGCGAAGCCGGGGCGGGTCGCTAGTAAACTATAACTAGTTAGTCTAAAAAAGTTGTCATTTTGTATATAGATACAAAATGACAACTTTTTTAGACTAACTGTACAGTACAACGAGTGGTCTTATCACACAGGCGTTTTCTTACAGACAACCCTTAGTTAGATGAAGTAGTAACAAAGAATCAGAATAGGTTATCTAGATAACCCAAAGCCAAAGTTTTTCTCTACACCATCTTCTCTGCTCTTAAACTTACAAGTCATTATTATTATCCGCTTAAAACGTCTCCCTCCTGGAAAAAGCAACAGTCCTTCAAAACCACTCGGAAGAAATGACACAATAGCATATTTACACCATAGGATTACTTTGTACGATATTTTCTGCATTCTACATACAAATTTCAAACACAACAACTTTACTTCAACTCCCTCTCTACTCACAAGATTAGTAATAGCTCCGTAGTCAGAATACTCTTCTATCTTCCACGTCTCCTTCTCTGCGAGCCCCTTCACGCGTTTATGAGCTCGCTGCAGGAAGACTGTCATACCGTGCACACGGTAATCGAATATCACTTTTTCTACGATACTGAGAGGCTGGAAATGTGAAGAAATTACGATTATTTATATAGTTTGTTTGTTATATATAGTTTGATTTTGGAAAACTGAATTATTTTCCTAAAACGCTAGTCTCCATGATCAAACATTATGGACACAAATATTATTATACATACGTCCAGAAATCGCTTCGTTTTTAACCGACTGACTGTCGAAAGAATATTGTTTTAAATACATAAGTGATCATTGGTGTTTATGGCACTTACTGCAAATATCTGTGTTTCAGGTATCATATAATAAAACATACAATTTTTGTCACAAAATGTAATGATTTCTTAACCGATAGTTGTCACCACATGAAAATAGAAAAGTAATTAACTGCTAACAATACCTGTGAAGGTAGGTCCAGTTTGAGTAGCGAGTCGTAAGCCTCCCTCAAGTGTCGGAGGTTGGCCACGAGCCGCACGCGCAGAGTGTCGGTGGGCACCAACTTGGCGCCGCCCGGGGCCAGCAGGCACGCTCGCATGTGGGACGAAAATAGTTCCACTGCTGCTATTATCATTTCCTGTAATGTAGCAAATGTCGAAGATGGTAGCATATTTGCAAGGACTTTATCAATTTTGATAATTGTCAAGAATTTCATTTTCATAAAAAGGCAGGAACATCACTATATACCTTATATATGGTATTTTGAAATGTAAAAACTTCTATTTGTGATACTGACCAGCAATGCACTTAGTTCCTCTAGTATTAGGGGCGTTCATGGGCGGTGCCGATTCAGAGTTTTTTAAATGTTGTCCTACGCATGGATTTTCGCATGCGTGATGGGTGCGTTTACAAACATACAATTTCACATACCATACTTTCACTTGTACCATAAAAAACCTAAGGGTTACAAAAGCGTTATTCATCAACCTATATTTGTCTGATGATCAATGAGTGGAGACATGGCAGGGTAGCAGCCCGTACCTTGAGGTCGGCCTGTCGCTGCGCGGAGCCTGGTTCCCCGGCGAGTTCCCCCGCGAAGTATCGTCGCGCCAGCGGCCACAGCGCGTGCAGCTGCGCGGCCAGCGCGCCCGCCGCCGCCGCCACCCAGGCGCCGCGCACCGCGCCCCACCCGCCCAAGCACTCGCTCTCCTTCGACTTGCGCTTGCCTGGAATATTATATCACTACATAGTATAAAACAAAGTCGCTATTCGCCGTCTGTCTGCCCCTATGTATGCTTAGATCTTTAAAACTACGCAACAGATTTTGATGCGGTTTTTTAATAGATAGAGTGATTCTTAAGGAAGGTTTATGTATATAATACATGCATAATATAGTAGAGAAACACTGATAAATTTAAAGGTTTCTAATGTGATGTCGTAAATAAACGCGTTTTTGCGCTTATAATGCAAACGGCTACGGCAACTGGCTAAACCCTACGAGATAAACCAAAATAATGTACTACAGTATTGTCCACCTTAATTGTCTAATGACAAAAAAGCTGTGAACGTTGTGTATAAGGACATTCTGTAGTAGGTATATTTACATAAGCATTGCACCCGTGCGAAGACGGGGCGGGTCGCTAGTATATGTATACATAAAATGCACGAATTAGCATGAAATACTACTCTGTTAAATTCAAAACCATGTATTAAATTAGATCAGGAACATACTTTTGAACATCAAATAAAATATTAAAAATGTCAATCTATTGGTCAGTCGTCTACTGAGGGTATTTACTCGTTCCAAAGTGTCGATTCCTATGAAGAGAAACGAGGAAAGAATTCCATAGGTTATTGTTTTTCAATCAGGTCCACAATAAAATTTTTGTTTACTTGATTGGTTCAATAGGGTAGATGTCCGTTTGGTAGATTATTTTAAATCATTAGACAAGATTTTTTTATTTTCTTACAGAAACGAATACCTTCGACGATATATTAATTTGAAGTGTCGCGTGACGTCACTTCTATGTAGGTTTTTACTATTTTATAAATAGAAATGACGTTTTAGCCCCCACTCCTAAACTTTGATTCGTTTTATTTATAGAAGTATCTAAGTATTATATTAAATAAAAAAAGACGTGTTTAATATTTTTTCATTGCCTAATAACCTATTATATTTTTAATTTTCATACCCTGTCATCATGCCAATTATGTGGTTCAAGTAGTGTTAGTTAATTTTATAAGTGCTTTATCATAAAGCTATTATGAATTATATTCATACTAATCAGCCTTCAACTCACCTTTCTCATTGGATTCCTGTTCCTCTTTTTGTCTGAAGTGATCTTTTACCTTGTTCATCAGATTCATGAGATACTCTTTCCGACTAGTAATAGCGACCCATGCGGCGTCACCTTCCCAGTTCAAGCTAATCAGTAACCTATAAAATATAATTAAATTACAAATAAATGACAAAAAAAAGATAATCATTAAATGATGAGCATTTTAAAATATGGTAACATAACATAACATCACACCTTTTACCCCCAAAGGAGTAGGCAGAGGTGCACATTGCTGCACTTATTGCTACTGTACAATGCAACACCCCTTACCCTTTCACTATTTATGTTATAAGTCCTTGCAATAGTGTGTGAGCCTATTGCCATATACCGGGCATGATTCCAGACTCCGTTCCACTGCTGAGTTTTCTTAAAAAACCCAGTAATACTTTACCCGACCCGGGAATCGAACCCGAGGCCCGGCAGTCTCACTTGCGACCACTCGGCCAATGACCAAAAATATGGTAATGCATTACAAAGTAAGTACTTATTACGATACAGAGCCGTTATATCCCTAAGGCAAACTAGTCAAGTGCATAGGGCGCCAACTTGCAAAGGGACGCCGCACAACGAGACCCGCGTGTCGAGAGTAACAAAAATTAAGGCGCCCATGAGGTGCTTGCCTACGGCGCCCTCTAGGTTTAATTCGCCTCTGACTAATTACAATAAAATCTTTACCTTATATACTTGGTCTGCTCTTGAACATTGATTGGCATGGTTTTCATTCTCGTATACAATTTCTCTTTTAAATCCTCTATCTTCTTGTCAATCTCAGCGAGGATTTTTTGAAACAACTGTAACGAACATCACACTAATATAATAAATGTGAAAGTTTCTTTGTTTGATGTTTGTCCGTCAATCACGCTGAAACTACTGAACGGATTTTGATGAAATTTGGTATACAGACATGGTATGGTATATGGGCTGACTTAGGAGATAGGATACTTTTTATCCCGATTAAATGCTCCTGTCGGATAAAACAGGAATCATATTCATTTTTATCCCGATTAAATGCTCCTGTCGGATAAAACAGGAATCATATTCATTTTTATCCCGATTAAATGCTCCTGTCGGATAAAACAGGAATCATATTCTACGCGGACGAAGTCGCGGGCATCAGCTAGTTTTCTATTTTATTTGTTGTGAACAGTTATAACAAACTATAGGGAACAGTGAAAAACGAGACGAGTAATATCTACCTCAATGTATTTTCATTAATTTCATGACTAGAGGTATAACTACACAACAAAAAGACCATGTTTTACATCTTGTATTGATAAATATGTTTAAATAAAATAATGAATAATGCTCTTTTCAACTTTAAACTCTATTTATTTTCTTTTGAAAAGTTAGTTAGTAGGGTCTTCAGAACATTGTTTACTACTACCACAGATTATTTAATAGTTACTACACGTAATTACTACTTACTAGTGTTTGCGTACCTTATGTCCAAATACTCAAACGCCACTCAATTTTATGTCGCGCTGTATTATGTCACTATAAATTCTTTATCTATCTATCTATATATATAAAAATGAAAACCGTTTCCCGTTGTCCCGCGATAAGTAACTTGCAGACGGCTTCACCGATTTGGCTGATTTTTTGTTTATTGTGTTTATTATTGTTAGGAGAATGTTCTTATGACGAAAATAATCTAAAAATTCTACGGGAACGGGAGAAAACAGGATTACGCGTACGAAGTCTCGAGCAGAAGCTAGTTTTTTATAAAAAGACAGAGATGGCACGATATTTAAATACAGCTTAAAATTGAGTAGCCTTTCGCGTTAGTCAAAATTTAATGAATAAATAAGACAAACCTTAACATCAGTATTGCCAAAGAGATTCTTGACTCTAGTATAGTCGTTGACCACGAGGTCATACTCCTTCTTCCTGATATTCCTGTCTATGGACGCGGGCAGTTGGAACAGGAACTTGTGACGTGTTAGCAAAGAGAGCGCCTCGCGAGTCTTGTCGGCGTTATCTTTTCTCGATAATATCTCCGAAAATAGAGAGTCTGCTAGTGTGATCGATTCTGGATAGACAGGAATTAATTGTGTGAATTATTAAGTGATGGGTTTCGTTATTGTTAAGAGAAAGTCATCTGTATCAATATGACAATTTCAAACAAAAACTCTTTAAACTATAAATACATATGTAATTACCTTCTATAGCAGCCTGCAGGCTAGGCAGTGGTTCCTTGCCATTCTTCCTCTCATCCTCTTCATACATGTTCTTCAGCAGAACAAGCCGATCCAGCTGATCCATCACAGCTCCTGTGTTTGCCTTCAGGAAACTTAGCTGACCTTCCTTTTGGCCTTCCACCTGGAAATAATGGATACTGCTATTAGAAAAGTATAACTGACATTAAAGTACAAAGACAATTTTTTTTTCTATTGGACCAAGAAGACACTTTTGAATGTTAAACAAAATATTAAAAATGTCAGTTGTTTGGTCAGTCCCCTTGTAAAGTTATTTGCCTGTTCCAAAGTGTAGATTCCTGTAGCGGTGAATGAGCAAAAAAACTTCATAGTTTACTCTTTTTAGGTTCACAATAGATTTCTTGGTTTCATTGTTTCATTGGTTCAATTACATGAAGACATTGTAACACCAATATTCAGTCAAAGAGATAGAAAAAGAAAATAACCAATAAGTTTGGAGGAAGTTATGACAAATTCATACCTATACTCGGAATTTTAATTCGATTCCAGATTTGACAATTTCAGTGTTGCAATGTTATGACAAGTACTAAATAGTGACGTTGCGAAATTATTCGATATGGAAATGCAATATTTCTGGATCGATTCTTCTCGTTTATAATTTTATTCTCGTAAACTAAGTATATCAGGAAATTAAATATTTCTGAACCGATAATTTAGTTTTGATGATTAATTAACGATCTGAGACTTTTCTTTTATAATTGTGTGTGAAATAAATAAAAAAATGTAATCATGAAGGAACATGATAAATAAAACAGATAGATGTATTATGGTAATAAGTTATTTTATCAATTGTCGCCGTCATCGCTATCGCTATCCTGTCACTTTCTGTAACATTTATTATAAAACACAAACACTGATTGTTTATCGATTTTTGTGTTCATCACTACACTATTATATGTGGTATCATTATTTCACAAAATGACAGTAGCTATTGTCAAATCTGGAATCTAATTAAAATTCTGACTATAAGTAATTTGAATTGAATCATTTCATTTCATTTGTTTATTTATTATTTTGGTAACGAACAATAAATAATTGTTTACACTGTATAAATTACTGATTAAAGGAAACAATAACAAGAGCATCAATTAATTATATAGTATATAGAGCTTCCAAAGTGTTATTTATGTTTACAGTTTCTATAATACTGGGTCTATATGACACACAAATGAACTGGTTGAATACATATAGTATAGGTCCATAGAGCTAATCCATCCTATACGAAATTTAGGCATAGTGTACAGTCGCGGAGAACCTAACGGGTAACCGGGGCTCGGACTCGACGTGCAGGAGAAGGAACGGGGTGGTTTTTCGTCAGTAAGAGTCTGACACTCCCTCCCGCCTAACCCAGGCGGGAGAAGTAACTCGATGATTTTCCCCCCTTAAAAAAAAAAAGTCATAGTGTACAAAATTCCTGTATAGCTTGAACTTTTTTCATACCTTTCTTTGTAGAAATACCATTCCAGCTTTGAGGTCCTCATATGAAGTATTGCTGTGGTGTTCTAGCAAATACCAGCCAGGCTGGAAGTTATCATCAGACAGCTTACCAGAACTGAAACATTACACAATGAATATTTTACTTTTTTGGTAGAATAATTTGATTACTTTCATTGTAATCTCTGTACTTTTAATGTCATTTTTTACAATCTCTAGTCACTGCATGAAGACTGAAGACAGTGGATTCATTTTTATATAGTCTTTATTCTAAACACTCATATAATTCATTATACTTTAAGGATAGATATGTCATAGGTTATATTACAACAGCATTAATACCTGTGTAACCAGACTGACATACTACAGATTACAATTGAAACATAGTAGTATTTTCAGTGTAAATTTACATACCCATCAGGAAACATTTCATTCAACTCTTCTTCAGGGAATTTACAGTCATCTCCTTCAGTGGAGAGTCCTAGAGGGTCAGGAGGTGTGTAAGTAGTGGGGGACATAGGTCGTCGACCCCATGGCAGGGAGGGAGGAGCTGCCTCCTCTACCCATACTGCACTCTCTTTCACAGGACCTATTGATTCATGATAACCTGGAAATACAAATACAATTATTTTAAAAATTATCCTTGATCAAGTATTTAGTCCAATTTCCAATATACATATTATTAGGCTGACAATTATTATTTACCTCTAAACTGCACAGTAGAAGTTCCTTCTCCACCAGATCGTGTTGTCACTATAATATCGCCCCGACCCTTGCACGGACCCGAGCGTGCCACTATTTTGTTCTTGCTCTTCCATTCCGCTGACAGTAAACAGTCACATCCACAGATCTTTAAGCCTATAAAAAAAATACAAAAAAGATAAGTGTTTACGCCCACCTGTCTAATAACTTCATGGAATAACACGATTAAAAGTCCACAATTTTTAGTTTTTCCAGTAGAATGCTACATACCTATGAGATCTGTTGCGCTAGTGCCCAGAAATTCTCCACGTATTGTAACCCTGGTCCCTGGTGGACCTTCTTTTGGAGATATTCCTGTAACTACAGGCGGAGGACCCATATTTTATTACTATTTTGATGATGATACTGTCCGTAGTGTGTAGTAGATTCAACTGCAATTTAATCTAAATTCCTTGTCGTAACTCTCTTACAAAAAACTAATACAAAATATCGCTAAGATAGAAATAAATTGATGATTTCGCTTGCTGATTATTATTGTGTCACTGTCAGTGTTAATATCAAGTGTCAATTTGTCAAACTAATGTCATTTTGCTACCATTTTCTTTTAGGGGGGTAAATCATCGAATGACTGCTCCCGCCTGGGTGAGGCGGGAGGAAGTAGGGAGTGTCAGACTCTTACTGAATAAAAACCACCCCGTTCCTTCTCCTGCGCGTCGAGCCGGAGCCCCGGTTACCCGTTAGGTTCTCCGCGACATTTTGCTACCATGACGTTGGGTGACGAGATGCGAGATGGCTTGTTGACGGCTTGTTGATCTGAAGTCTGAATTGTGGAACTATTTGAAAGTTATAGAGAAAAAATATTATAGAACTTTACTATTAAAAAAAATTATAATTACACTGAACAAAGCAAATATTGGGGTTTTTTTTCTCTATAATTTTTGTACAATATTATAAAGTTCCGGACGTAACTAAAAATGTCACGATACTCATTAATGTCAGCTGTCATAGTAATTTGAGTCATTCTCAGCTCACCTCATTCAGTTTCATTCGAGTTGAGCGTCGAGATTCATTCTATCAATGCAAATTATTGATTTTGTCTGACTTTTGACTTGCATCAATCATGTGGGGGTGACGAAGTGGGGTATTTGGGGCGTATTTAACCAAAAACCAAACCTATAATCCACAAATTATTATGCTGGTTGAGTGCATCTGATAATCCATTTTAAAGAACACAATGGCTAAATCATATTTCGGGTATTGTGCTAATTGTATTGTGTATTGATAATAAATTGGTCATAATAATAGTGTGAAGTGTTTACTAAATTATCATACTTTTGCTTTTAGTGCGGTCGATGAGTACGGGTTTGAGAGGCATGAGGACTTCGATTACGGTAGCTACGAGGCTTTTATGTCGAATTACTTGAAGGTACTGGCATCGAGGGCGCAAAAATGGGCCATTCTACTTGGCGATGATGGAAAGTCGGTCAAACGCACCACAACTGTGAAGAGATACGTCCGCAAAGGAATACCTAGTGAGTATCTTTCTTTGTTTACATTAAAATGCCGTGTGAATATTGCCGCACTTTCATTTTTGTGCTTTGTGTTATACAGAAATAGTTTATGAATGCCATGCTGTGTTATGAACCCATAGATGTATGTCAATGTTTTAAAAGCATTTATTTTGAATTAAGATACTGTTCTTTAAAATTAAATTCTATTGACTATGTTCAATAGTTATCTAAATATTATAAACCTAATATTAGGCACAATGAGGTTTGATAAAGCATCAAGGTCTACCTGGTTAACATTCAAGTAACACTTGTTTTTATGTCTAGACAAAAATATGTATTGAGCATTACTATATTTTATTTACTCTATGACCTACTTATGAAATTAAAACCACATTCAAACAAATACAAACTTATTTCAGGTGAGCATCGACCTTCAGTTTGGATGGCAATTTCTCAGGCAGAGATTATGAAAGAACAATCTCCAGACTTATATCAGAAAATTCTGGATGGACCGTTTGAAAAGGAACTGGTGGATCTAGTGAAGACAGACTTGCCCCGGACATTTCCAGACAATATATACTTCACCAAAGAGGCCAACCATCAAACACACTTGTTTAATATACTCATAGCTTATGCACATAACAACAGAGTGGTAGGCTACTGCCAGGGACTCAACTATATTGCAGGTAAGATTTTGACTCTCACTCAATAAAATTAAACTTTATATTCTTACAAAATAGAACTCATTTTACTGTAGATGTGATATCTACACAAATTAATTAAAATTAAGCTTTATAATCTCTATAATAGAACAGATTTTGACATAATATGTCGTTTGGTAAATTTATAATCATATCAGTCAAGTTGAGTCTGTAGCGATGATAACTTTGACCCTGAACCTATTAGGTGTCATTACCACCTACTCACTATCAGATACTGTTCCACATTTCAACCTCAAGATTTACATCAATCGGAGCAGGTCAAGTAGTAAATAGGGGCTAATTGTCTCATTACAAAGTGTGACTAAGTTTTTAAATAGATCAAGAGCTAATATTCTACACATTTAATGCATTGAATGTACTATAATAGTGATTTTTCTCCAAAAACCATCATAAATTCTATGACTAATGTGACATAAAACTCTGCTACTGGCTCCATTAATAGTTAATTTGATTGAGAGAGATGGTTTAAACAAATAAACTTGTAATTGGATACATCATGTGTGTATGAATCATTTCAGCTGAAACAATTTTAGAGTAGATTTGTTTTGTTCAAATGACAATCCACCAGTTGCAGATTTTTTTTTTATATTATATATTATTTATACATTCTATATTATTTGTACTATCTTGTTACTTGTATTCTGAAAATATGATTTTCCTTATACCACTCCTTATATAACTCAAATAATTCATGCTAAATTATTTAATAGTATGATTAATTTGCTAAACATGTGGCTCCCCATCCCATTTATAAAATTCAGTCCTATTAAATGGTTATTTTAAAATGTCAGAAGGAATGGTAACAATATAATTTTATTTGCTACGTAATCACACTTATTGCTTTAGCAAAATACTAAAACTAAGCTTATAATCTAAGCAATTAATGATAAGTTTAAAATTAATGATGAATGTATCCATTATTTTTAGATATTATGAATAGGTACAATTTACTTAGGATTGAGGAAATTTATATACATGTAAATACAATTAACATAACATTCATATTTTTTGTTCATAAATTCATCAGAATTATCTGATTAATATAATGGATTGCCAGAATATTTATCATTATTATGTTTTATCACTGCCAAGGCAATCTATTCGCAGATAAATTAATATTAACTGTCTAAAACAATTACTGAGTCAAAACAATATAATGATTATTTACCATGTCATGTAATGAATTTGATATTATCTTAATGACATTGATACCTAATTTTCTCTGTAATCAATATGATATAAGAATAATGCCTATCGCGAGTTTAAACATTTGATTATGAGGTAAATGAATTACATAAATGTTCAAACTTATTTTAAGGTTTGCTGCTCCTGGCAACAAAGAATGAAGAGACATCATTTTGGCTCTTAAAAGTTCTGGTTGAGAAGATTCTGCCAGATTACTACACGAAGACTATGGACGGCCTCATTGTGGACATCGAAGTGTTGTCAGAACTAGTCAAGTCTAAGGTGCCTGATGTACACCAACATGTTATTAATTTGGGTATGTATCTTATCTTATACATATACATATTACACACATTAATTATATAAAGCTGAAGAGTTTGTTGAACACACTAATCTCAGGAGCTACTGGTCCAGTTTGAAAAATTATTTTTCTGTTGGATAGTCAATTTATCGAGGAAAGTTATAGGCTATAAAACATAACACCACGATCAAAAGGAACCGAGCAGAGCAAGTAAATTCGCGCGGAAATAGCTAGTAACATATAAAAATAATGCTAATTGCTAATGCAACAGCTGAGCATGAGCATTCGGTCTGACTACAATTAAGAATTTCTTATTTTCAAATTATTAGTAATGGCAAGTAGTCTAATATGCAGCACAGACCGAGGAAATTAATATAATGCACCTCCACCTCTTTTGGTCAATAGACAATGTGGTCATGTTTTATCTAAAAGTATATAGAGAACAATAAATCAACAATATCGCTAACATTGAAGATGGTATAATCTTCACCTTGAAAGGAGACAAGTTAGAGGCATTTTATCTCTTTAATCCTATAATCAATATAGTTTACATCACAAGAGCTATGTTTAATCTCAGGCGTTGAGTGGTGATAACTACTATCTGATACTTATCCACAGATACTTGCTACAATTTTCAAATTTGGATGGAACTGCCTGGTTTTTTTTTTGTACATTTGTGACTCTATGTAAAAGATTAGGAATTTTAAGTCAATAATTTTACTATAACAAGTTAATTATTATAACAATTCAAGATCTGATTTCTCCATTCCATGATTCCAGGCTTACCATGGGCAGTGATAACCACAAAATGGTTTGTCTGCTTGTTCGCCGAAGTCCTCCCCATCGAAACGGTACTACGGATATGGGACTGTTTATTTTACGAGGGTTCAAAAATTCTATTCAGAGTATGTCTGACTCTAATACGGCAGAATAGACAAAAGATAATGTCATGCAATGACTTCACATCCCTGGCGGAGTGCTTCAAGTCCATTGTAAAGGATTACAGCGCATTGCAGTGTCATGAATTTATGGAGGTTTGTTCTTTATATATTTCTTAGCTTTTTATAGTCATAACAATATAGAAATAGAGAGAAAATACATTATTGAATGAAGTTGGTTAAAGATGTCTTCATATCTGATAGGGATTTGTTTTTGAACTTAGGCTCTCATAATTTCATATCATCCTATCTATATAGCATAATTTCATCCTATCCTATCAATGAGGAATATTTAATTCTATCAATAAGTGATATTTTTGCGTATTTCTTTTCAGAAAATATTCACCGTACCTGGCTCTCTATCGAACTCAACTATAATAAAACTGAGAGAGCGGTTCGCGAAGCAGCGCCGTGAGCAGCAGCAGAAGGAGCCGCCGCGATGAGCTGCCGCGGACCACGCCGACAATCGTGTTCTGATCTCAAGCCACACAACCAAATTGTACATTATACACTACTACTTAACACCTCTACTTATACACTATGACAACATATATTTTGGATCTCTATACTTTTTATTACCAACAAGTAAATAAATGAGGTCTATAAATCAAATCCTACGAATTTATGTTTCTTAGGATAGAAATATAGAGGTTACTCTATTGAAATATTTACATTCATAGCTTGTTCCAATTGTTTTAATAGCTTTGTATGGCGAAAGGTTAATCGCCGCAGTTATGAAACAACGTATATCGAGCTTGTTGCGATTTTGTACAAACATTTACTAGTCTTTATATCCTTGCATGTTTAGTAGCTATTAATTGAATACCGGACAAAGAAACGAGTTGCGCTGAGGTTTTTTATTTCCTAAAGTCATGACAAACTCCTAATGATATGCCCTGAAAGATCAATCATCTCAAAATATATCATTTAAATGAACTTCATGACATTAGTTGTTGCTAATGTGGTGTTCCAGCTTTATCTGCGATCCTGAATTCAGGATTGCAAATAATTTTGCTAAGTTAGTGTTAAGTTTATAATGTTGTTTTACATATCATTAAAGTATTTTTGTTTGTAGTATTATTTTTTTGCTGTTAATTAATGTGTCAGTTTTATTAGATTTGTACCTGTAAATTGTAAAATAAGATATGAACAAAGTGAGCATTTTACTAATAATTTCCTGACTAATAAATGGTTATAATGTAAATGGAATGGGTTCACTGCCATTTGCGGAACTAACATTGAACTAACTAACTTGTGATGGGTATTGGTTCCCTTGTCATTAAAAATACAGGAGTAGAGCATCAGTCAGTGTTTACTTCAGACTTGTCAGCCAGCAAAACAATACATTTTTCTTTAGTAAATAATATGTAGGAAAAATATTTAATATTTACTACTTGCATTTCAAAAAATGTTGGTGTTTAATCACTATCTTTATTCTATGCTCTACTTTATTACAGTTCTAGTACACTCTCATCGTGCTTATATTGGCTGACTTATGTTCAAATACCCAAACGAAACGCTACTCAATTTTAAGTCGCCTCAAGTATTGTATGTCACTACAAATTCGTTGTAAAAAGACAGAGATAGCATGATATTTAACATTTAATTGAGTAGGCTTTCAGTATTTGGGCGCTAATTCATTACTTTTGCCTAATGCGACTGATGTCCTTTTAGGTTTTAATGTAGACTAAAACAATTGATATTTTTCGTAGTTTAAAAATATTTGCTAACCTTATTATTTAAGGTTTTTGTTCAACTTCTGCACAGTAAATATATTTTTTTATACATGTATTTAACTAATAAATAGGTGCTAAATATTTATGTATGCCTACCAATTAGCTACAAAAATCGTACAATCATTGATTAAAAATTAATGTATTATTATAGTTTCTGATATTTATTAGATTCTAATTTTGGATTTGGTGTAGTTATTGATAATTAAAGTGTTTATTGTTCATGTGTGAACCATTTCAACATAGCTAAACATGTTGTTGTGCTAAGTAAAACTTAGTTTTACATGGCTTGAATTTTTTATGCAGTTAGTTAATGATTTGCTCAAAATTATCTGTGTTAGGTATGTGTATAGAAATTGTAATGTCATTATAACAATGACATAATTGTCACACCTTCTAGTCCCCTAGGAAGACGGAGGTGCACAAAAATACAATGTAATTATCATTGTATTTTACAAAACAGATATATTTGCTCTATTAGCACTTCAATTTTTCACATTAGCATCATTGATTAACATTTTGAACAGAAATGTGGACAATAACTTTCACATACCATAGATACCATTAATTAAAAATTACAAACTATAAAACAATTTTTAAAATCACAATTCTAAATTGAATAGTACATAAATAGGAATTTTGAATCAATTTTGTCAATAACTAAATTCATTATAAATGTATCACATGTTTAGTATAGGATGTACTATGAATGTATTTTCTTATAACCTCTTTTGATGGTTTCTCTTTTGGATCCTGTGTATTGTGCTGTGATTAGCAAGCTACCCAATTCCAGTTTACTGTTAGGATAGGCTATGGAATCTGTATTTGGATGTTCAACATGACAGAATAGACTATTGAGATGTTCAAATGAATTTTATTTTTTATTTTACCCTTATAGCAATGTAACAAATATTTAACTACAATCTTCCAGGCAACTCCAGCAATAACTGCTCACTACATTTATCTATAATTGTTTGATGTTCTATTTACACAAGGTAACCACTACTATGAAGCACAAGTAGCCATTATGACTTCCCACTTTCCAAGAGGTCTTTAGCTTCATTGATCTTGGCTGCAATCAAAGGAGAGCCGCCTCTATCCGGATGATTGAGTAACATTATCTTTCGATGCGCATCTCTTATCTGTATCAAATAATAACAAGTCAATGACACAAACTGTTCTACTGATACTAAACAAACTTACTACTGGTTAAATACTCACTTTATTTTTGTTAGCGGTAGGACTGACACCCAGAATTAATGCAGCTTCTCTTTTAGTCATTTTCGGTTCAAAGCCTCCCTTGTAATATTTAGAATGGGCCAAACTTTCCGCATCAAATTTTGGTAAGTTTTTCATTGCTTCTGCAAATTTTGATGAGGCATTGGGCATCTGCCTTAAGACATAGCGGCCGGCGAAGCCCACTGCTGCCATACCTAACCCCGCTAGAATTACTGAACTTGCCTGCAAGAATAAAATTGTAATTATGAAGGTTATCATTCAAAAAACAGTAGGTCAAGATTATCTTGTTAGTGTAATTTTTTATTCAAGTTCGTTCATATGCAGTTGCATAAAAAATATTAAGTAGTTTGGTAAACCTGCTGATTAACAAAGTAAGATATTTTTTTTGAGTTGAATAGGTTACGTACTTACCATTTTTTTACTGTTATACAATTACGATTATGGTTTATAACTTTAGCATGCAATTTTATGAATTACGCATACTTTTTAGCGATGTTACGCCAAAACTTAGAATTATTGCACTATTGAATCAAACGCATTTTCTCTTCGATATCGATTTTGACTTTGACAGTTGAGTACCTTTTTTGACAATGACATTATTTTATTTTCCCTTTGGAAGTTTGTAATAGAGCAAAGAACGTCGTAATCATGCCAAGGAACCAAGCCATAACTTTTAATAAATAATTGATACTGATAGCGAGTTTTTTGCAAATCATAATTTGTAGTGTACGATTTCGGATATCAATTTATATAATTAGAAGAGACAATAAATAATTTCATACAATTAATCCATGAATTATTTCAAATATTATTGCACTGTATATCATTTTCGAAAGATGTAATCAATATTCATAATTAATCGCTAGCATTATTATTTTTAAATATGATTCATTTCGTATGAATAATACCCAAAAGACCATAAACTAATTAATCGACTAATTCACAGTTGTTGTAATTAAATAGTACTGGCAACACACTATTAAGAAGTGAAGTGACCAGCCAGATAAAAGTTTATGAAAAAAAATCGGGCCTTTTCGAAGAGGTTCAACATGGCAGGAGATCAGGCGCAATTTTACCAGTTACTAAATACTTTATTATCAACCGATAACGACATAAGATCCCAAGCCGAAGTAAGTACTAATTGTGTTTTACATTTTATTTATATTATAGCTTAGAAATGTGTAAATTGGCCGGTATAAAAGATGAATATCATCTACGAGCCTCGTGTCAAAACGTGGTCATGGAGGATTTTCATGTTACTTTTCAAACAACGGCGACTAAAGTCTGATATTGCTCAACTAAAATACTAAATTAATATGTAAGAAGATTGTACTTAAAACATGCAAGTTGAATAATTAACTTGTTCATGTTTACACGTTGCTAAACGCTAATAAATTATAGCGAATCTATTGTTGCGGCCGGGCTAACGTTCAATTTGTACATGTGGTTTTATAGCTCAGAATTTCTGTTGCTTTGTCCATTATTTAAAAAAATATTTAAATATGTACAGTTCCTAGCAAAAAATAACGATGACGCATTGCCCAAGATGTAGATATTTCAACTTCGCTCTGGATATTTTTTATTCTTCTAGCTATTTCAATTTTGGTGCAACAAAACAAGCTTAAAAGTATTTATTTTTTATAGGACGAATTTGTTGCCTACGCATGCCAAACATTGTCTTACTATTTATAATTTTAGACAAATTATTTTAAATGCCGTTTTTGCCACTAACATAGTATAAAAAAATGTTTTAGTATTAGCAGGAGCAATCACTTATGTTTAGTTTTATTGCATAACTGATACTGATTGTTTTGGATTGTATTAACAAGTACTAAATAACCTGTGCTGCTCCAGTCTCAAATATATGAATCTGAAGCATTGAAACTGGCAGATAATAATTTCAATAATCTATTCCTATATTTTTTATAGCATCGTGAGTCCACATGTAGCAATATTACATTTCACTTATTAATTCTACTGGAAAATACTTTCTACATCTTCACTGTGTATGTATAAGCTATAAATAGTAGGCAAGGGATTAAATGATTAGATACTTAGTCATATCTGCAGTGCAGCAGTCAAAATGTCAATATCTATTTATCTCAACATGTTCATTCTGTTAGACTTGTCTTTATAAAAATGTTTGTAACTTTTTGCTGAACAGGAGGCATACAATAATATCCCAACTGAAACAAAAGTAGTACACTTAGTGGGAGCTATCCAAAATGCTGATGTTGGTGAAGAAGGACGTCAAACAGCAGCTGTGCTGCTCAGAAGATTGCTCAGTGCAGAATTCTTTGAATTCTTCCCAAAACTACCATTTGAACAGCAGTCAGTCCTCAGAGAACAACTACTCCTCACACTGCAGATGGACGTCAGTCAACAACTCCGCCGCAAGGTATGTTTTGTTTTGTAAACATGGAAATTTTTACACTCATACATTTTCAATACATTCTTGATAATGGCTGCCAAGTAGTATATTTGTTATGATATCTCCATCCTGAACACTAAAATCCTTAACCTTATTATAGTTGTCAGGTATTAAACATGTAAACTAGTGTTATCAAACATTAGTCTTTTATTGCCAATAGTATTTAGGACAGATAAAATTTAACTTCTTTAATACAATTAGAAAAAAAAATGCACTTATAAACAGTATTTATACTTAGTTAGACAAAAAGTAAGTATAGACCTAACAAAAATGAGCACTAGCATCATTATCATTGTTAATTGCTCTCTAGCGAGTCATGTGTTGAATCAGTTGTACTAAGTACATACTACATACTTAATCTAATTTCATTCTATGAGTACATAGTAGGATGACTCATCCGCATTCCAGAGGCATACTGTGAAGCTTGAAGCCATAAAAAAATCTACATTATCATAAAAATCAGTTGTTCATGTTTGTTCTTAACAATATGCTATATCAAATATTATTATTACTGTAGGATTGTCAATAAGATCATTTATTATTTTGATAAAAATAAAACTGTACTTTAACTCTGCCTAATGGTGACTTGTATTAGAATGTTAAGTCTTATCTCTAGGTCTACATTTATAAGCAAAGCAATCAATTTAGAATTAGATGAGGCCAGAGTTCTCAAGTTAATAACTGATAATTTATCACATTAATAATGTTTTAAAATAAAACTTAATACCACTAAAGTAAAGCATGATATAATTAATGTTCTTTGATTTTAAATCAGATACATAGGTACTTCTATCAGTTACATGGCAACAAAAAATTGTCTATAATTTCTAAATATATTTTATAGCACATCATTACGTAAACATTTTATCTTAAAATGTGTTACTGCCAGTATGTGCAACATTAAATTGTGAATTTCGCTAACACCATCCTCTTAATAGGGTGGAGTTTGATAGTACTTCTCCAGACAGTTACCCAATTTGATTAGACAATGAGTCATTTATACAACATTCCAGAAAGTATTTAATACCTACTGAAATAATTTTGTTGATTTGAATGACTAGTCTGCTTCATCGGCCAAGTGGTCGCAAATTCGCTAGTAGGACTGCCGAGACTCTGGTTCGATTCCCGAATCTTGGATAGAGGTTAGTTTTTTTTCTTTTGACATTTTTTGTAAAAGACTAAAACAAGCAATAGGGTTTGAAAGTAATAATTATAATTTATTTGTATAGATCTGTGACGTCGTATCAGAACTGGCCAGAAACCACATAGATGATGATGGTGTTAACCAATGGCCAGAGTTTCTACAGTTCATGTTTAACTGTGCTGGTGCCCAAGATCCCAACATCCAAGAGGCTGGCATCAGGATGTTCACGTAAGTATAAGTAAAACAATACAAATTAATGGGCTGTTCCCAATGTATAAATTAATATTAATTCTTCTTTGTTATAGTAAAGTCTGGCTCAATGTCAAGTTCGCAATACTTTATTCTTGGATTAACCCGTTGAAATCCACCCCCTAAATTTGGTCATACAAAAGTAGTCTCTAAACATTACAAATAAGGTCTATAATGTAATGTAATATTAGTGGAAAGCGGTCACCGGTGACCGCTTGGTGATTTATGGGTTAAGGAATAACTGAAGTTTGTTTTGTCATTGTTATGTGTAGAAATAATAATTAATTCAATGGTTTATGAAATAGGTCAGTGCCTGGTGTGTTTGGGCACCGTCAGAATGAAAACCTTCCTGTAATCAAGCGCATGTTGCTGACTGCTCTTCAGTCCACATCGGAACCTCTCCGCATTCAAGCTGTGAAGGCAGTTGGCGCATTCATATTACTCCACGACAAGGAGCCTGCCATACACAAACATTTTAGTGATATACTGATCCCTCTCATGCAGGTAAGTTATTCTACTAGGTAAAATTATTCTACTACACAACAATTCTCTTGTTTGAGGTTTATAAAATAAATTGTAGCTGACTGCATTGAAGAATAAATAAAGATATTTTCGGTGCGAGAATAGAACCCGTGGAACATTTTACAGAAGCCTTCTGTAATATGTTCCATGGGTTGAACTGTACGGGTGGCTTCTGTATTCTTCTGATTGTACAATCAAAATACTTACAATAATAAACTTGCCAATAAACTAGAGTTTAGGAAAGTCAGTATAGCAAATAAATTATAAATGATAACTTTGTGGCATGCAAACAGTAATTGACCACTTATATTACAATGCACTATGAATTCGACATTGAATGATCACAATTGGCTCTATTTTTAGACAGACTCGCTGATAGTTGATTTTTATCACTCTATTGTATTGATACTGTTGGTACTTTGTGTAGTGTTACAGATGTATATTGTACTGTTTCACTGTTAGAATATGAATATCACTAACCTCTGGACAATATTAGTTTCTACTTTCATACTATTACTCCATGTAGTTTATAACATTTTAATATGTTAATCTAACAAAGAACAATGTATTAATTACGTAAAATTACGCTGCCTGGCTGGCTTTTGGTACACATTTAAAAGGGACTTGAATGCCAAGGAAGACACAAGTAATAGATTGCTCAGCACATCATTTACGTAAACTTTTTCTCTAAAATGTATTACTGCCAGAATGTGCAACATTAATTTGGGAATTCGCTAACACCATCCTCTCAATAGGACGGAGTTTGATAGTACCTCTCAAGACACTATGATAAGACAATTTACAACATTCAGAACATCAAAATAGTTCATTTAATTTATAATGCTTTTTATCTGTTTCACAGGTTATAGTTCAGTCCATTGAGAAGAGTGATGATGACGCTGCTTTGAAAGTTCTTATTGAACTAGCTGAATCAGCCCCAAAATTCCTGCGCCCACAACTAGAGCCTATCTTCCAAGTGTGCATCAAGGTTGGTACATTGGAATATATAAAACTGAAATTATTTTATATTTAATATACATTAAAATGTGTGTTGTAAGATTCTTTACTGTGTGGCTATATTTGTATGATATAGCTGCAAAGAATCTTACTACAAAAACTAACAAGATAATTAGCACTCGATGTTCCTTATACATTTGGGTGTCAGTCCCTTGATGACAATGTTGTTTATAAATAGCTCCACATATGTTGTTAGTTTGTATGTGAGTATGTTACTCATTGTTTATTTGTTTGTGTTAGGTGGTTGGTGACATGGAGGCAGAAGATAACTGGCGCCAATTAGCTTTGGAGGCAATGGTGACCCTTTGCGAGACAGCACCTGCCATGGTACGAAAGCAGGTGCCCAATGGAGTGAGCATGCTGACGCCGCTCGTACTCGAGATGATGTGCGAGCTAGATGACGAACCCGACTGGTCAATGCAAGACGACGCGGCCGAGGACGACAACGAACAGTCAGTATACTATATTGCAAACATTCTGGCTTGAAATAATAATTTTGTTTGTAAGACATATAGGTTAAACTCGCCTTTTCAATATTTCCACAGAAATTATGTAGCTGCCGAGTCAGCTCTGGACCGCATGTGCTGTGGACTTGGTGGCAAGATTATGCTGAACCTAATCGTAGGGCGGGTCCCTGAAATGTTGCACCACGAGGACTGGCGCCGTCGCCATGCTGCGCTCATGGCTGTGTCTTCTGCTGGCGAGGGCTGCCACAAGCAAATGGAACAGATGCTAGACCAAGTAGTCTCTGCTGTTCTCAACTATCTCACTGACCCTGTAAGATATTTCTTATACATTAACTAAGATTATATTTCCAATGTTCGTTAGTAATGTAATCATTAACAAGGTTACATCACTTCCATAGCATTGGAAGATTAAATGTGGCAATTGCTCCATTTCTCTCTAGTTCATAGAAAGTCACGGATCTCAGTTCACAGACATGATAATAACAGGGATTAAATGAACTTTCTATTTTAGTTGATTCGTTGGTATAATGTTATTTTAATGATTTCAGCACCCTCGCGTGCGTTACGCTGCTTGTAATGCTGTGGGTCAAATGTCGACTGACTTCGCTCCCGTATTCGAGAAGAAGTTCCATGACAAAGTAGTGCCTGGCCTCTTGATGGTGCTGGATGACAATGCTAACCCCCGCGTGCAGGTAATTACGACAAATTCATATAATTTTCAGTCTTGTTAATTAATGAATTGTTGCTGAAAGTTACTGATTATATTATTTGTTGTCTTTTCCAGGCTCATGCGGCTGCTGCTTTAGTAAACTTCAGTGAAGATTGTCCCAAACCAATTCTTACTCAGTACCTTGACCCCTTGATGAGCAAACTTGAACTAATTTTGACCACTAAATTCAAAGAGGTAAGAGACGATGTTACACTTCGTGAGCCAATGTTCGTTAGTGATGGAACTATTCCTAAAGTTCAATTACTTCCATAGCATTGGCAGATAAAATGTGGCAATTGCTCCGTTTCTCTCTTTTTTTATAGACAGTCACGGATCTCAGTTCACAGACATTTTATATATAGTAAAAATTGTATATGATATGAATAAGTAAATATAAGAATACTTTAATAAATAAAGTCTCTTTGCAGTTGGTCGAACGTGGCACAAAACTCGTGCTTGAACAAATAGTAACAACAATCGCGTCCGTCGCCGACACTGTGGAGAAAGACTTTGTTATATACTACGACCGGCTGATGCCTTGCCTCAAGTACATCATTGCTAATGCTACTACAGATGAGCTCAAGATGCTCCGCGGCAAAACTATTGAGTGTGTCAGTCTTATTGGTACGTAAATACATCACTCATGTAAACTAAACATTCTAAATTATTTGTTAATATTATCTATTTATGTAAATGTTTGTCATTTATTAGGTTTGGCTGTTGGTGAGGAGAAGTTCACGTCAGATGCCTCTGAAGTGATGGATCTGTTGTTGAAGACGCACACTGAAGGTGAACAGTTGCCTGCCGATGATCCGCAGACATCTTACCTTATCTCTGCCTGGTCGCGTATCTGCAGAATTATGGGTACGTAATGAACTAAAAATTTATTTTTCTTACATAAAAAAATATTGTTATCATATGGCAAGGAATCTGTAAAACTCGGAATATTTGATGCTATGTTTACTTAACAGGCAAGAAGTTTGCGCAATATCTGCCCATGGTGATGGAGCCGGTGATGCGCACCGCCGCCATGAAGCCCGAGGTAGCATTGCTCGACAACGATGACTTGGAAACCATCGAAGGAGATCTCGACTGGCACTTCGTCACACTCGGCGAGCAACAAAACTTTGGCATTAAGACTGCCGGTCTGGAAGACAAAGCTTCAGCTTGTGACATGCTTGTGTGCTACGCTCGTGAGCTCAAAGAAGAGTTTGCAGAATATGCAGAGGATGTAGTGAAGCTAATGGTGCCAATGTTGAAGTTCTACTTCCACGACAACGTGCGCACGGCGGCCGCGGAGTCGCTGCCCTACCTGCTGGAGTGCGCGCGCATCCGCGGGCCCCAGTACATTCAGGGCATGTGGGCATACATTCTGCCGGAGTTGCTCAAGGCTATCGACTCAGAGCCTGAGCAGGAAGTCCAAGTGGAACTTCTCAACAGCCTTGCAAAGGTATATAGTTTTCTTGTGTAAAGTACACAAAATAAGGTATATTCAATAAATTATATGTGTCAGTTTTTTAATATGAGTTATTTTGATTTCAGTGCATAGAACTGTTGGGTGGTGGTTGTCTCCCAGACGAAATGATGGCGGAAGTACTGCGTATATTAAACAAATTGCTCACCGAACATTTTGAACGTGCCACTGAGCGTCGTCAAAAACGCTCTGACGAAGATTACGATGAAGTGAGTATTTTTATTATCAGAAAAGCATCTAATTATTTACAGATACCTACTAATGTATTTTTTACTCATATTACCGTAAATTGTTAAAAAATACAAGAGTAAATTATATACTAAAAAAACTGAATTTTTAACTCAGGTAGTGGAAGAGCAGTTAGCCGACGAGGACAACGAGGACGTGTACGGTCTGTCCCGCGTGGCGGACGTGCTGCACGCGCTGATGTCTGCGTACCGCGAGAGCTTCTTCCCGCACCTCGACAGTCTGCTCCCACACCTTGTGCAGCTGCTCGCCCCTGGCCGCCCCTACTCTGATCGCCAATGGGCTATATGTATTTTTGACGATGTTATCGAATTTGGAGGTAAAGATTGTTAGGCATTGCATGGAAAACAGTCGTAAAGATCGCTGGTTGTCGATTTACATAAATTTTTGTCGTTTTAATATCAAGAAATTGTATCGTGTTTTTTCGCTGGCAGGTCCTGCATGCATAAAGTACCAAGACATCTTCCTGGAGCCGATGCTGAGCGGGCTGCGCTCGGCCGAGGCGGAGGTGCGGCAGGCGGCGGCGTACGGATGCGGAGTGCTGGCGCAGTTCGGAGGCGCGGCCTTCGCCGGCGCCGCCGCGCGCGCCGTGCCGCTGCTGGCCGCGCTCATCGCAGAACCTGATGCACGTGCACTAGAAAACCTAAACGCTACCGAAAACGCTATATCTGCTGTCGCAAAGATCATCAAGTATAACCACTCTCAGATTGACAGGGATGAAATCATTAGGCACTGGTGAGTCACAGCCTCTTTTCGCACTAACTTGTCATTTGTTAATATGTACTTTTCATGAGAATGATTTATTAATAAATATATATTACCCATATATTTGTAATGATTCTTTACCAGGCTAACATGGCTGCCAGTGACAGAAGACACAGAAGAAGCACCACACGTATACTCCCTGCTGTGTGAGCTCGCGGCGAGTGGTCATGCGGCGCTGGCATCTCCCGATGCACCTAAGCATGTGATCGCCACACTCGCAGAAGCATTCTTGAGGGACGCTGTGCCTACTGACAACCCAGTTTATGCGCAAATGGTTGCTCTCGTTAGGCAAATACAGGTAAGCATCAATTACAACTTGCTTACAACAAAGCAATCAAGTGAGTGTATATTGCGTGAAGTGTAAACATAACCTTTTTATTTGTTGCAGAGCAATGCAGAATTATTTAATGCCGTACTGATGCAGCTGAGCAGTGAGCATAAGGAAGCCCTGCAGCTGGCCCTGTCCACGTAGTGGCCGAGCACATATTTATTACCGCCAGTACCGCTACACGTCACTCTCTCGGCACCCTGCGCTCATCCGTTGCCAGTCACGCTCTCCTCATCACGCCCATGTCTCGCGCATCACTACTAACCATTAACCGCCTTTAAACCAACTATTACCATGTGTATAAAAGTTGTATGATGTAATAATTGAAAATATATCTTTTTGTGATTTAGACGAGTTTTAAACCATTTCAGTTTTATAAACGACTGATGTCCGATAAATTATAATGTTGTATACTTTCATGATGAGTTGTTCTTTCCTTTCGAGGAATTTTTTCTTCGATCTCACTCAGCAAAGTATCAGTTGGGCTAACTTAAATTGCTGTGATATATTTTTATACTAATTTTTGAAGTAGCTTCATGCTTGATTCTTAAAAGTGTTAGTACCTCTTTGAGCATTATTCATTGTCTTTATATGTAGTTCTTTTTCTTAATGTCGATATTTTGTAAGCAACTATAATGGGGATGGTCCAATTTATTGATAAACAAATGGGAAGTTATCGAAGTTGTTTAAAAGTGTAAGGTGTATACTCGTTATAATTATTATATTACAAGCTATATGTTGTAAAATGAGTCCCAAAATGAAAAATATTTACCTAGATTGTTTTCTGATGTGTATGTGTATTTTATAATCTAGTAGAAAGTTACTGTTATAAACTTGGCGTTATGTTTTCAAGAATTCGTTTTCAAAATCGTTATTAATCGGTGACATGTTGAAAGCTCTGCTATGGGAGCAAAGACTGTATTGGGCCTAAAGGCAAGCAGCTAGATTAACATTTTAGTTGTAATACATTTTTCATGCGTTCTTCGTGATTTTATTATGAAAATAAATATTTTTATAAACAATTGGGCCGTCTGCATTTACGTTTTATTATATAGTTTGCCATATTTCGGCTATGATGGGAACTTGGTGGCTGTTTCTCGCAATGGACGAGGCGTCATATCTGTTTATAAGATATAATTTTATTCAATAAACATACCTATATATAATATTATATATACATTTCTTTGTTTAACTAAAATAAAAGTTATTTGACATGATAATGCTTGTTTTTGTAGAGGGAAATAATTGCACAGAGGTAAAACTGGAACAAACTGGAAGCTCGCTACTTCCTAGAACTAATTTAGGAGGAAACGTATGTGCGCATCTTCCATAGACAGAAACAAACATTGAAATGGGGCTCTTACTGTTATCCTAGATTACAGACATGCCGGTTATGTCTTACGTGTGTTAGTTTTCACCAAAATTTGAAAAGCAAGGACGAAGAGAAAAGGTAGTTAAATAAACGCTCGGTTGGAACGCGGCAATCGCACATAGTTATTATTATTTTGAGGTTTTAGGATATTGTCGACTGCAAAAAAGGACGTTTAGTTTAGGTCTGGTTTTTATTTGTTCCATTCCGTAATTTATTGGGAATGATTTACTAGGTAGATTCACAGTTTACAAAATTATTATAACTACAAACCATGAGAGTAGGTTTTTGTAAGCATGATAGTGGCAATACTGGTTGGTTGGAATGTCAGACGCACACGTCACTGTCATCTTTGCTTTGCTCATTTTCTCAATCGTTTTGGCCTGTCAAAGTTGAATGTCGTAATATAAAATTCTGTATTTACTTTACTTTAACCTGTAATTGGAATTGTATAATATTGTATAAAGATTTTTCAAAATTACTGTATTGAAGACCAAAAACAAAGATATACTTTAAAACATTTATGATATATAAAAAACATTGAATTCACGATTTGTAACCGTTCATTAAATAGGTAGCTTCACCGCTTGCACGTTGTCAGAGTTAAATACTTGGAAACTGTGAGTTAAGTTTTGATAAATAACAATAAAAATTACGACAACTGTTTGACTGCCCGAAAAATTAGTTATTAGTGAACCACATTTACAAATCATCAAGTGAACAATACGCTGAGGCTAATTACGCCGGCAGGCGATGTCATAATGTCCCGTAAGAGGTCCCGACTCAGCAGTGAAGAAGAAATGAGTTCCAAATTATCAGATGGTGGATGTGGCGAGGGTCAAAATGGCAGTGAAACCAGCATAACCAGCGCGACCAGCCAAGCACCGATAGATGCGTTGCAGGTTAGTACCGTAAACGTCATATCAACTTCCGTGCTTCTATTCTAGCAGGCTGCTAGCAACTAAATTCCAATATAAAAACTTAATAGCAATGCTGAAATCAATTCCATTTGATTTAAATTAGCATGAATAGATATGCTCTGCCATATTATGGCATTGTATGGAAGAGGTGAGTAATAAATAAACTAGCTTATTTGAATCTGTACCATTTGATGAATGCAATATGGTTCAAATTGGTATTGCCTGAATTTATGTTGCAAGAAACCTTCACTATGATGTAGCTAGGTATGTGGCTATACCTCTAGTGAGAGAACACTAGCATTGTTGATGACTGAGCATGCTGGTGATGAATCATGTCTATTGCATGACTAACAGTCATGAACAGATTTTAACTAGAACTTATCTGTTTATTATGATACTGTTGATAAGACTAATGCATTGTGTAACTTAGATACCTACATCACTCATTATGAGTAAAAATGAACATTAGTAAGGTAAATCAGTTAAGAATCAATCTTTACTGAAATAAATGGAGCGAAACTGCATAGATAATAAATATTCTAACTGGAATTACATAGTAAAGTGGATCAGGTTAGTTCATTGCTCCAGTGACCTTAGAGCTTAATCTGTTGAACTACTGAACAGAAGGAGGGTGAAGTTAATCCAATAACTGCTCTCAGCTTTACTTCACTATTTACTATTTATTCTCCGGGGACTGGATACTCATTTTAAAAAAAATTAGGAAGTTCAAAAAGATGTTATTATATCTAAACTAAAATCTTGTTAACTAATGTTACAACTATTGTTACCAAGTTTAATTTTAAATGTTTAATTAAGGATGTTTTAAATTTTATCTACCTAATCATTTTTTATGTTAAATGTGTATCAATGAACTTCGTTAACGAATGAAAAAAGGCAGGTATAACGATCTAGCTAACTTTTTCCTGTATTTGGTTCCATATAGGTATATACATTTTAGGGAAAATTGTGTTTCCATTGGAATTGCTATAGTTACTCTTATAATTATACATTCCAATTAGAAAAATACAACAATTAGATAGTTTGTGTGAAAACATGTGGATTTTAATTATAAAAAATAGTATTTTTGAAATAAACTGTATTTTATGTGCTGCTGTTTTTTTTTTTTCAAGGAAATGATTTAGGTTTCTGTTTGTTAACTAAAAACAAAAAAAATATTAAACTTTTTCTGACACTAATCACAAGGACTTAATATTTCTAACTACATTGACCTACCAAACAAATTATTGTGCCTAGGTATTATTTTACATAAGGAATATAAACGAATGTAGAATAATTAATAATCGATAAACTTTATACCCCAGGTAGTACAGTAGTTTATTTAATTGCACATAATCAAGCGTGGTTTACTTCGCGGCATACTAAACACAATACGGATACACAGTGATATTCTGGACACTGCAAATGTTCTACGGGCCTGTATACTGATTTTACAGGGATATGAAAATGAAAGCTAAATGAATCAATAGTTTGGGCTCGCCGCCAACTATGTGGCGTGATTACTGACCGCGCCACTCGTTTAGATACCTCACCTACGACGCTCTACCGCTCTATACTGCACATACTAATGCACTAACTGACTACATGCATCACTAGCTAACTACCCGACTACACAGCTATCAATTGTAATTTATGACTTCATGTTCGCATGACCATAAATACGAATGTGCCACTAAACCGATTCGGCCGACGACGTAATATTCTTTCTTGGATTTTCCATTAGCGCGTGACTGTAGCAGATTGTAGTTTTTGTTTATTTTCATCTTAAAAACCCACGCTTTACTGATTGCCAAATCTAGTTTATTGACGGGCGAAAAAATTGTAAGTGATGTCATTAACTTCGTGTTTATCAAAATGATACAAACTCTTACATCAGTACTCAAGTATGTCTAGATGTAACGTTGCTCCACTCCTATCGTTTATCTTGATTAGTCTATTTGCAGTTTCAATTATGTCACTACATACTATACTCTATATTACAAAATTACCTTTCTTCAGTGCATGCTCTAATGACTTCGACAATGATGTGATATAGTGATAACTGATAAAATTCTTCACACTAAACCTTACCTAGAGTACGAGTGACGTACGACCCTGCCTCACAATTTTATGTGTCTTAATAAGCACCGACTGAGTGCGTACATGTGGTACATGTGCACTCTCGAAGGCTAAAGTCAGTAACGGCAAAGAACCAAATCAAATCGTTTGATCGAATCATAATAAGCATTACGTAACTCATTTCTTGACATTATTCCCATTTTATCATCAGCTAATAGCACGTCATGAAAGCGTGTCATGCGAATACGAGTGCGACGACGTGCCATGACCAAATTGATGCAGCCTTGAACCATTATTAAGAGCGCACTAAGAAGGTGGCATTCCGTTAACTCTTAGTTTTTAGCCCTAGTGTGTATCGTATCATCCACGTGCAATGCCAGAAATAGGTATCGCAAGACACGGTCGATCACGTATTTTCTAATGTGATATCATAAAAAAAAACAGTAGTTTCTACATACAAGAATGCTTGGTATGAGATTCTATTCTTTTCATCGTTAGAATGGTATCTATTGTTTGTATGTCGAGAATCGGGAATGCTCAGATAGTGTTGGGATATCCACAGTATAAACTGGCTTCGACCTATCTGTAATGAAATCATGTGAGTGTGTCATGTCAGTGTTGGCAGAGCAGCCCACTGCTGTACTGAGAGACATTCGCTTGGCGCCCACCACTCGGTTAGTGGAGCGGTCGTTGCCATCGCCGAGTCTCTAGTGACGGCAACCATTTTCTAAATTTAGATGAGGTGATGAATTAGTTGTAATATTATATTTTTAGAAAATCCAGCTAACTATGGCTAATTACTTTCGACTTTGCCTTAGCTAAACGTGCGCGTTGATCTCGTATCATTGTTTACGCATGTGCTATCAACAGCTGACCCAAAGACGTCATTGTAATCATAAAATCCCATACTGAAATCTGTTTAGCTTTGAATCACATTTACTTGCTAATCGAGGAATGATGACTAATTAATGTGCTATCAATGTTATCTGTATGAAGACATTATTGATAAACATAATCTTAGTAGAACAAGTAGTTAGGTTAGGACTTGTGAGTCTTACCACCGTACTCAGTCATTTAATGATACCTGAACTCAGTCTTTAGCAATTGTTTTCGCTACAAAAATGTCTCAAGTTCGACAGTTAGTTAACTGCAATTAAATATTCATATAGTAACTCTAACTACTACACTTACTGTAGAGATGACACAGGTAGATGTGTGGAGGTGACTTTGAAAATACTAGCTATTTATACCAATCGAAATGTTTATCAGTGACCAAACAAATTGCACCTTTATAAATTGACAAACATGTTTACCCTACAATAACACAGGTTGTTGACGGATTATTAGAAAATATAAATAGGTAATAAAGTTGTATGTGGGATAGTAGCCAATGAAAAGAAAACTAACGAATCAAAACATAGTTTATGGAACTTGCATAACAGATCGATAAAGAACCTGAGATTATTGTGCATGCACCGTGACCGAATAATCTAAAATAAAATAGGTAGATGCAGATTATTATGGGAATATTAGTAAATGCCATCTTTATTAGTAAAACTAAAAGAATTTGAAAGGTCTACGGCGTCAAGGCTGTTCAGTTTAAATCAGGCAAAGAGGAAGCTGTCGCGACCATATCTTTACGATTTCACGTTCTTAAACCGTGTATAGGTAATTATGAGAATAAATTAAATAAGGTTTGGGTGTTTTTAATGGAAATAATCAAATCGATAAAGTTTAATCGTTTACAGCTGAACGATTAAAAAACTATGTGGTAGTATTGGTTCAGAATAAGCACATTTCGTGTTGGATTTTCTTTTTACACCTAACGCTAACGGAATTGATTGTTAGCAGATTTTGAGTACGTTCGCACCCAAATGACACACTGCAGATGTGATTCGACCTGTTTAACTTTTTCAGAGAGATATAGTGTTCTCGTTTTGCGTTCTGGTTGGAATGGATTTCAATATTATCTGTGTTCAGGTATGCAAAAACTTGTTTGTCTGATCGGACTACGCTATACATTGTGGTTAACGTTTTAATTGAAGTGATATAATTTATAGGTAACAAAATAAACAAAAAGAATACACAGAAATAATCGACCAATCGAGAATAACCTTAAAAAGCACAAAATAGAATTTCAAAAGTCATTGGCTTTGGTTTTGTTTACCTTCGCACTCCTAGCAAAGTGCACTACATTCTCTGAAGTACATATAATAAAGTAACACAATCGAGGAAATAAATTGTTAAGTCCAGTCACGTACCGTACGAGGGGTACCTCGTATATGTGCTAGGTTATGTAGAGTAATTAATCAACAAATCGACTATTTAACTCGATAAATTGTACAAAATATCTGTACAACTGTGATGTGTCCTCTACTAATTGATGATTATTCAAAATAAATTGTTACAAGGTATTCCCCAGCACTTAAAGCCCATTATCAGCTGTGTATCTGCTCTCATTGGCTTTGCCACTCATATGACGAATAATAGCGACCGACGTGCGACGACCATTTATTTAAATGAAAGCGATATTGTTGTAAGCATTTGAAATCTGAACCAAACAATCATAAGATTTCTTTTTGATAAATCCGTTTATGCCAATGCTAACGAGTTACAACTTGATATTGCATCAGATTTTAAAACTTAATTTTATTTGAATTTAAAAATACAATCAAATAGCAGATGAAGAACACTTATTTTAGTGAAGTCGATTGAGAAAAAATTAACCATCAGTGTTAGTGGCATTTTCCAGTTTTTGGAAAGAAAGAAGTTCTAAACTGGCAAAAGTCTGATGATAAGAGCAAATAGAATGTTTTGGACTGTATCTATTTAAGAACAAGTACTTTTGCTTACCGTTCGTGTATTCAAAGGGTAGAAGACTAATTAGCAGGATTAAAATTATCCTGTCACTTATCCATGGTAACGTACCGATAACAATATCACACACATATTAGCTGTCGACATTCCTAGAACTATCGTGCCCTCCGCCCCACTGGCAATTAACAAATTAAAATGTGTCGTCACTACAGTAGCTGATATCTTGTGCTCAGCTGATATCAACATCGTACGATGTGATAAAATATTCATAAACTTATTTATAATTAATTTGTAATCATTTCATGTGTTATGCAAAACTTTAATAGCTATCAGTATCCATCATACCAAACTAGATGACATCTCCGCAGCACACGCATCAGCTCATAAATTATCATCACGCTATTCAGCTGCACGCATCACAGCAGCATCCACATTGTGCGAGTCCTCTCAGTTCTCGGAAGTCGCTGTGAGGAAGTTATTTATTTAGCTGTAAAATGTTAAAACTAACTTAAGGCACTGTTGTGACTAAATGCGGAATTTGTGTCGTCTGGTTAGTTGCATACGAGCATAGTGCAAGTCGATGTTGGCGACTGGCCGAAGTTGTAGTCGGCTGTAAAGTAAGTCCCCTTCGGGGCGACTCGTGGAGCGTCGCGTGTCTGCCGAGCCTCCACGTCGGCGTCGCGCCACCCGGCATCGACCGCTCCCCGCGCCTGTCGCACCACCCGCTAACACCAGACGCATTCCTCACGCCGACTCCGTGTTTCATATCGTTTTAGTCACTCGTGTACTTTCGTGGAGTTCGCGTGTTCCGCTGGTTAACGAAAATACCGGTTCTCAAATAAACATACGATTTCTGAAAAAAAAAATAACTTGTCAAACTTCACTCAAATTTGATAGAAAAAAAATTGAGAAATATCTTCTATTATAAAAGTATTTTAATTTTTACTATTTTGTTAAATGTTAAAAAATTTAATGATGCCAGTTCCTAAATTATAGCTTTAATATTTTATAATACGTACAGTCAAGTTATTTAACTTAAATCGGGAGACAATAAATAGTTGATGATGTCAGCCTTCACAATAACCACAACGCTCACGAACGGGCACGGCCATGTGAACGGTCAGCTGGAGCCTGCACTCAATGGATACAGAAAGAATGGATTTGTCAAACAGGACATAGTAGAGCGCACTGTGAGTACCCACTTTGATCTTAACTTCCTTCCTAGTTTTCCGGGGTCACATAGCTTTCTTTCCGCACTGACTAAGCCGAGCTAAAGCTAATGTTGACACAACCTTATGGGTATTAAGAGTTATATTCTAAAACGTGTTACAAATACAATAAGTTAGTACAAACAGAGAAATGAAACTTTAGCGACCAACAAGACGAGACTGCATTGTTTGTACAAGTATGAGTGAAAGTTAGCGCTACTCATTGCACCACAGAAGGTTGTCTATGTGTGGCTACTCCATAGAAAGTTCGCATATAAATGTACATAGAAACTTAAGAAACACAACAAATAATAAGAATGAATCCAAATATACTACCTACAAAAATAAAATCCATATTTTAATCTAAACATTCTCCAAATTTGCCTGAAACTGCACATAATTATATTTATTAGACATGACATGGCATAAGATTCCTAAATTCAGAAGGTTTGAGTGTTTAAGAGTGTATTTTTAATTCTTTTATTTTCCATATGGGCCTTTAGAAGAGTAAATGAAGGGATATCAATGTAGTTCAAATTAATGAGTGTAAGAAACAATTCGCGAATAAACGGTGTCGCCAAATAAAATGAGAAAAACTCAATAAGGGAAATGAAACAAAATAAAATAAGCGGCACCGGGCATGTCTACTAATATAAAAGTAACCCTTTGGTAAAATTCATAGATGGTCTTACAAACATGCATATTATACATCCTTTTCTGAACCTTTTGTTTCTAAAATTCTCAATTAGAGGCATAACCAGAAATGATCATCATTGCCTCCTTATTGATATAATTAACATTCGTGTACAGTGCTACTGTTTACATTTAGTTTAATACACCTGCCACCTACGTCATTCACCACCAACTAAACAAACATCTTCCAATGCAACATAGCATGGGATTACTTATCTGAAAGTTATCTTCATCAGAGAATGTTTCACTGAAAATTTGTTCAAGTTTTACCAAGTTGTGATCTCCAACACTATTTGCACGAACCAGTATGACGCAAAACGACCAATACTCATTGAAATGAGGGGTAAAAAAATACAAGTTAAGCAATCGGTATTTTCGAGAGCATTCGCCGCTTACCATGTTGGTGCTGATTTGCTAAGCTGGGCACAAAACCGCATTAAATTATCATGAATATCTTTAAAACGGGTTACTGTTCAAGGTTGCTGTTTCCCAAGTGTGGTGATTTGATTACGTATGCAATCGATTTCTCTATAGTAGAATAACCAGGTTCAAGTTCGATGTCATGGGACGACATGGACTTGCTTGTTGCAAAACTGATCGGAAACTTGGTTATGTTTGAATGTTTGTCATGTGACGAGTAAAACACCTTTGTTTTTGATTGTCGTTCATACTGAAGGTTACGAAATATGTTACGCAGGATTTGACGTCAATCCGCGCATTCTCAGCAATCACTGTATAAGTGTCGGTGTGACGGTAACATAAATCCATTACTGTTTACATTTACACTAAATGCCAATAAAATAAAACTCGTGTTCTACGATATTAGACAAAGCGGCTTTCACACATCATTGAAGTTAGCAAAGTTGTGCTTTTCGCGGCAAAAAAACGTAGCTATTGCCGCCACATTTTTGGTAGCTCCGTCCTTGTGGCTTCTCAATTCTGATATTGCATACCAAGAAAGTTGTAGTGTATTTGTATTAACAGTTATTTTTTCAAAGTTTTACACTCGGACCGTGACCGGCTCCCATTTCAATGCTAAGTGAGTACCTACCCAATTATGTAACATTTTATATTCTCGGCCATTTTTGAAGCTGACTTAACTACTGAAGAACCAGACTGCGCGGAAGCGCTGCAATTTCTCTAATAAATAATCTTCTTGTTTACTTAACGATAGAGCTATCTCGTCTGACCAATAACGTAAATTTTCCCATTATATCCACAAAACTAGTTAAGAGAAATTCGACAATTTCATTACAACTAAGTGCTGTTTGCCAATGGCTGTGTATATTTTCCATATTCATATAAAAGCTTTAAAACAGTTTACCCTAAGCATTTTCCTCGTGTATTCGATAAACTGTTTTCCCTTTAGATACATTACGTCAGTTTTCCTGATCCGTTTCTTTATAAAAATACGTTTTATAGAACCCATTAAAATTTAATTCTAGATGATCACTAAATTGAAATTTTCGATAGCTGTTTGTCACATGAATGCCAAAATGATATCGCGCTTTGTGTAACTCAACCGGAGGTTCGTACCAAATATGGTGACGCCGAAACTGTTACCGCGCTACCATTGCATTCTAGAACATTATTCAATACTTATCTATTTTGTTTGACTAACTTTCAAACGTTTAGTACATTTGTTTTTACTACTGAACTGTGACTAGTTTTTTTTTTCAATAAATATACTATTTTAAGACTTCGTATTTTGGTGGAATTTTTTAATCTGTTTCATTGAAGTTTTGTATGATTTCAACATTTTGACCTCGTTAATTGTCGGGCTATCAGCGTGTTTATACACAATATTACTTCGTCATCATATATCCGGCTCGCTCAGAGTAATGTAGGTACCTACTAAATGCCCGCCATACCCATAATATGTTCACCTAATCCAAGGGAACAATAAAAAGTTAACGACTCTCGCCGACCTGTAAGAAGTAACTCAACTTCAATTAATTAGGCAGTAGGTACTAGGTACTCTGCTACATGTATATTAAAGGTATTGATTCGTCATACTCATACCTAAATTGATCTAGGGTTATTTATTGAATGATGAGTCATTTAATAAATATATTGAAATTGTTACTCATTTATTCAAATAGTAATTTATTACTTAAGCTGAAATATTATTAATATTCCTTATGTACTTATTCCTTTTTCCTTAATGAAAGTACTTTTATTAATTGTATTATTTATGGAATAATTTAATTTAGGCCTAAATTAAAAGTTATTAAATGTGAGGAAGGAGATAGAGATTTGCTACTTTTATAATCCTTCATTGATATGGTTCTAAAAGGCTTGTGTCACGGTTTCAATAGTTTAAAAACATCTGTTTCAGTATGGAAGTAATAATTTCTATTAATAATACGTTTTAAACTGTCAAACACCAAGCGGTCACCGGTGACCGCAACCTATTGTTCTATAATTGTGTCTATAATGACGGTACTCGACGAGTTAATATCGATTTTAAGCTGTTTGAATCTTCTGGTGAAGCACACGGTCGTTGCTCAATGCTCATGCGTTCATACTACACATGTAGTTGGTTGAACTTCATAAACTGATAGGAATTCTATCCTAAAATTATTTATGGAATAGCCATAGGTAATTTGCTTTAGGATGTTAATAAATTGTAAGCTATCTATCTATAGTAGTGTTTATTACTTACTAGCTGATCCGGAAAAGTTCATACTGCCTAAAATTGTTTTTTTTTTTAATTTTCCTTGGACTTCCACGACAATTTCAAGACCAAAATTAGCAAAATCGGTCCATCTGTTCTCGAGTTTTAGCGAGATTAACGAACGGAAATTGATTTTTATTTTTAATTATATAGATTGAAAAGGATACAATATAACTGGAGAGTTTAATTTCCGATTATTGATAGCTTTTACCAGTGGCTTCGTCTGCGTTTTCGTGGGATAAAAAGTAGCCTATGTATTTTTGCAGATATAATCTACTCTGTTGTATTGTTCGTATTGTTTGACGTGCATGGCTAACAAACAAACATACAAACTTTTGCCTTTGTAATATTAGTAGGATTGGAACGTCTGGTGGGAGAAAAATGGAAGAAGATATGCCGTGTGTGTGCCGATCCCTTAAACTGTCAAACACCAAGCGGTCACCGGTGACCGCAACCTATTGTTCTATAATTGTGTCTACAAAACCGGTATTCGACGAGTTAAGCTTGCCTAACGGAGCTTGTTAGCACGATGTAACTGACTGACTATTTTTGTATAATTTTTAATAATGTGCCTTGCCACTGTTGTGGAAGAGGTATAAATGACCATTGACTAACGAACATTATTATTGACTATACTAGATATATGTAATTGTCTATTGTTGGAAAATAATGCGGACACGTTTTCCTCAGTGTGATCCATTCTGTTTCTCATGTGGATTTTATTGTCTGTCTCTACATTTTATAATCTGTTTTTTAAAGTGCCACGGAAAAATGGGGCATTCAGGAAAATAATGGAATTAAATTATATCGTATCTTTAATTAGAAGTACCTATGTTATCTACCACAACTCATTAACGCTCGTATTTTCACTACCACATGACGATACCTTAATTGCAGGGAATTTTACGCCTAACGATGAAGTACTAATGATGAAATTGCTATGATATGAAATAGATTATTAGATAATAATTATTTTACAGTGATAGTGTCAACATCGATCATAATAATTTCTCTACGTAGTAATTATAAGGGTAGGTAGTTTTACATTTCCACACGTTTTGGTAACACCTGCAGCATTTGATACGCGTAGCTATCACATAACTTGATTTACTTGACTTTCATTAATTCTTCTCTTCGATTGATCACAGTGGACACCTTAATTAGACATCGAATCACGGTTTCAAATGTTCTTTTAATGAATTCGGTTAAAATGTTGATTTTCTAATTTGTGGTTTGATAAAATAATATTATGTAGTAGCGTAGGTATATAATAATAATACTAAATTAAAATAATATATTATCTGCGCACAAACGGAATCGCAACATCCGTCAACTAAACTTTATTAGCACTGTAGGTATCATTTTTATATTTCCGCCTTGATTATAATCATTATGCCATTTTATGTATTTTCCGCCTGACAGTGGACTTGTCTGTTATTTTAAATGATATTGATGATTGTTATTGTTATTTTTCATTTATCATTAGGCTAAATGAATTTCAAACCACAATAGGAGTTCATAATCAGGAGCTCGAAAACGATAGTAAGGCGAGTGTCATCTAAATAATTATTATTTATGTTTATATCAATGTGTCACCTGGCAGTGCGTCAAATAGAAATAGTAATGTAGCAAATTCCGATGCGTCTCTCAAGAACGATGCATGTTTGTTGTGCAATGTTTAAACAGCTAGTTTGTATAGCTAGGTGACCTGAATTAAGTTACACTTGAACAAAATTATTACCACTTGTCACGAACTAAGAAAAAAAGTGAAAGTGTTGCGACAAATTATGCTCACTTTATCAGCATAATTAATTAGATACTACGTTTTTATTTTGTTTTATACCGACTCGTAGAATAATGATTGACATTATCGACAAAATTATTTACGTAAATTCTATTTATACTTTTTATTCTCCTTCAGGGAATAAAAAGCGTGATATTATGTGTATGTATGTAGTGTAGTATATTAAAAAATCCAACCTTACTTCTGCAAATTGTGTTAAATATTTTAAATATACTATAAATAAGTTATCTTACATTAACATATTTTTAGAGCTACTATCGCCTGTGACACAGGAATATTCCTAGTATAGGCATAATATTTTTAAGATCTTGTCGCTTAATTAAGAATTAATTTTGTACCTATGTTGACCAGTGTTATTATGAATAAAAATTTTATTATTATTTTATTATTTTATTTGCAAGGTAAAAAATAAGTTAATTTGCATAGAATATGTAGACTTTCTATTTAACACCGCTCTTGATAGTCCATAGTTATTTACTCTATCTCTTCAATGCTGTTTTCGAAAGTATTGAGTGAAAATTAGGCTGCTATCGCATATCAATGAGCATTAATTACATTTAGTGAAATGTAAAATAAAATTGATATAAAAATAAGAAGTTATTTTCACGGCATTGTTGTATTTCATTCGAATTTTAAACTATTTCTACCTACACAGTCAGCGGCACGTGTTTAGATTACATAGAAAACTGGATCGCAATGTTATCATTATGTACCGTTAGTTTCAGTTATGTTAGGTGTACCTACCTAATATCTATGTATAGCTTATACTACAATATATTATTAGGATCATTCAAGGTCAATGACATAGATATTAAACGCTCTTTCAGGGCCAATTTTCTTTTAATACTTTGGTTATTATATTTAATCCTGATATGTGCTTATCCTTGCCAAGCTCTACGATATATCAACATAGTAGTAATCAGTGTAATTTGCATAAGTACGTCCGCTGATAGAGGCACCGCGGACACACTCATGCTCGTTTAGATAACACTCGGTGAATCGTTGTTGTTAATCTATGGCCGGCCACTAGTTCGACCCACCGCCGACGTCACATCGCGCCACTTCATTATCATTGACTGTCGTGAACCTTGTCGCCTCACAATACAACACAATCTGAAATGCACATTGCAAACAAATGTTTAATTACTCATCATTAATTAAAAACTGCACAAATAACTAGTGCTAAATGATTTAGCATGTATTTTAGATACCGACCATATTTATCACCCACTGTAATGTTCCAGCTCATTATATTAATAATTAATTTATCCCCAAGTTCTTAATTAATTCTTGTTGCTTACCTACTAAAGTTGGTTCTATGAATTCAATATGATTTACATTCATACAAACTTATGTCAAGTGGAGGTTGCATTGCACATTCAGACACGTACAGTGTACACTATATCTGTTGAATACAATTGCAGTCTATATTAAAATTGTTGATCAAGTCTCGCAATTTGCATTCGACGTATTGTATTGTGTTTTACGTGGGCGCAGTGGGCGTCGCTAGAATTTACAGCTTAGGTATAAATAAAGCACGTTCACCTCGTACTCGTCCGATTCGTTTAATTACGTCAAAAGTTTGACTTTTATCTGTAAACTAGTGGTGCCCGCCTTGGCTTCCATTTCAAGTGGTTTCATGATATTCGTAAATGAATTTTAGTATGAATAGACTAATGTTCCCAGAATATTTTTTATCATAATTACCTATAGAAATAATTGTTTCGTTCTATTACAGTCGTTAAGGCAAGCGGCACCATACAGCACAGAGCCCGAAGCGATTGCGGAACGGGAAAGATGTCATTATGGACGCATCCCGCGCGCAGCGGCGCTCGCGGGCACGGCACACCGCAAAGTACGCGTGTACTCAGACGGCATCTACGACATGTTCCACCAGGGACACGCCAGGCAACTGCAGCAAGCAAAGACAGTCTTCCCTAACGTCTACCTCATTGTTGGTGGTGCGTACAATATCATATTTGTCCAGTATCAACGACACATTTTGTACAGAGCTTAATTACTCAAAATCCTATCTTTAATCGGCTAATCCACTGATAGCTCATTGAGACAGGTCACAAGACTGTCCTGTATGCGCCATTCGATTGCGTCACCAGTATTGAAGTTTGACCCATTGATTGGATCCTCGCATCGTATGATGTCGATGCGTAATGTTGATCTAATGATTGCATCGACACCCTCATTCACTGAACATGTCAATAATCTTTTATCAAGAGGCAACTTCTTAAAGTAGGTATATATTTATTTTAATGATGTTTAATATTAGGCCGGTTTATAGCCCAGGTTAATACCGTCACGCCACCGAGCCGCTGCCACTAACGAGCTAAATAAACAATAGTTATAACTGCTTGACTGGCTGCCTGACCGACTCCGATTGCCTACAATTTAATGGCTGCTTTGTGTTCGTGGCACAAATAGACCGTCCTTGGACTTGTATTCTTTTTCAATTAAATAATCATTAGCAAAGTGTCTGCATACAATAGATCGATAGATCGATGATTAAATAACGATCGTTCACCTCAATTCAAATAGCGTTGCTATTCGATACAAAATAATTTGATATTAAAAAAAAAGAATCGTATAATCCTTTTAAAAAGTACGTTGAGGACATATCAAACATGTGGCGAAGCACGCAGAATATAATTGAGATAATCATTACATAATCTGGCAATAAACAGAGTGCCAATATATTATTTTTGATGTAAACACCGCACCGGGGCGCAACACACATGGTAGCTTGCGTTGCGGCCTACCTGGCATATTGCCGCGGTCCCACGAATTATGATAAAAATATAATGGACGTATTGCTAGATTGGTAGATTTGTCGCATGATACGTTATTTACGGCTTAAGATTACATACGATACACGCTACGCACGTGTATAGCGTAAACAACGTGATTCTGATAATAAATAAATAAATCAACTGCGGAAACGTAAGCTTATCATTTAAAATTAGCGTTTTTGAGTCTGGTAGTTCCTCATCTCTATTTTATGCGTGTCACGTGTAATATGTAGATGATCTTGAACTACATTTCAATGATAATTGTTGTTGACATTTATTTGTTCATAGTTATCAAACCAAATAAACCGGGAAAATCCACGTTTCGGGTTACAACAGCCATTTGTTACAATCATGTGGATCAACTGACTCACAGCATTCTTGGTCGATTGCAACTTCCGAGAGTTCCCTCCAGTCTCCCATAAAGTCAAATCAATTAAACCAAGGCGCTTTTCAAAGTCAAACAAATAAAATACGGCGACTTGCATTACCTATGTAGACCAACTCCAATTAAATATGGGCCTTACAAATGCTTTTTGGATATTTTTTTAGAGAAACGATAGGCTTGTATTCTCATAATATGAAATTCATACATATAGATTCCATTGGTACAATTTTAACTGGTTACGTACAACTTATTTATACAAATAGCCCTTGATAATGAGTAATAAGGATTATTTTATTGTTTCCAGTATGTAGCGACAGCTTGACACACAGTCGCAAGGGACGCACAGTGATGACGGAGGACGAGAGATACGAGGCTGTCAGACATTGCAGATACGTCGATGAGGTAATTGACAATATTATTCTACTTGTGAATCATAAACTGCGTATTTTTGCGCCGCTAGGGGCGCTGGTGAGACGTTGAGCCCTGTTAGCCTTATGCTGTTAAAAGTTTGTTGAGTAATAGCTTGTTGTTTGCGAATAATCTGTCGGGTACTAAACCTTCAGCGGCATTAGCGCCTCTGGTAACCTAAAAATATTTTATTAACATTGCTTGAAAAGTAATATTTACAGAAAACTTTCTGGGAAGAGTTAAAAGCACTATTGCACACAGTTGTGCACCAATTTATATTTCATGTCTAACAGGGGGCGGTACATTTTGCGTCACTAAGACTTTATATATAATTCACTGATCATGTTACTGTCCTTTATTATCAGTTTACTGAACAATAAAAATATATGTGTTAAATAAAATCGAACTAGAATATTTTGACCCAAAATTCACATCAGGCGATTAGATCAAAAAGCTTATTTTACTTATTCACTACATTCAACTTGTGTGTAGTACGTTGAACTCCATTGTACCGTCTTGTTGGTCACGTGTATCCACAGTGGTGGCGCTTAGACAATTAAATCAATGATGTCATTAATCATCATTGCTTGCGCTCATTATATCTGTGACCCCAACGTCCTCAGTTCTCAGAATGTGATCGTATGATTTGTGCGGTAATTGTTTATATACAAACAGACAATTCAAGCTAAAATGGGTGATGATAACACATGGAAAACGTTAAAGTTCAAGTTTGGTTACATGAGTGTACGATGTCGTACTTGTGAATCTTTGAAAGCCTTAGAAGATTTGCGGTTACTTTTCAAACAGTTTTTGCTTGTCACCTGTGTTGCTGTTTTTCAAAAGAGGGCAAATGTGTTACTAAATACAGACTCCTTTATTAGTTTCAATTTGGACAATATTTTAATTAAGTACTTTGGCCTACCCGGGAATCTTAACTAAGGCAGCCTCGACAGACTATTATGAATTAAAAAAATAACAGATGGCATTAAAGTTCAAGTTTGCGCCATTTCTCGTTAGAGGTTAATAACTTAACTGATCATTAACACAGTTTTTTCATTGACAGTCTCAACATTTGACCTCTAGTCACATACAGTTATAATACTGCAAAACGTTATTGTTCTCAAACTCAATGGGAAGCATTATAATGTACGGAAAAATCACAAGCTAAGATTTTTTTGGCAGTTCAAGAACTCATCTATTTTCAATGTTGGTGTATTTCTATTAATACCAGCTCGCAGTATCGGAAATGCGCTTGCGGTACAATATAAAATAACACACAAAGCAACTGAATATTTATAAATAGGTTGCATTTTTTGGACGAAAATGGAGACATTTCTAACGTGGGTCTAGCTTGGGCCTTTGACATAGTAGGTACTTACAAAAACAAGTTGGCATACCATTGACCTTAAGCTTATATCACGGGCAATGTTACCTCTAGCAGTTGCCCTGCCATGTCATAGCGCACAGGTATACCGAAACGTCTATTTATTAATTTATCTCTATTAAAAATAGATTGAGTATATTAACAACATAATTATTATTAGGTAACTTCAGTCTATTTCTAGACTAATTCGTTTTTTTACTTTTTCCTCTCAGAGTACAACTGGTTGAATTTAAACGTCAAGGTTATAATACCTGTGCATAGTGTCTGTCTTAGGAATATTATATGATGAGGTCATGATCTATTTATGTAAATAAGAATAAAGAAATAATACGAATTAATAATCAATGATTATTTTTAAACAATTAATGCTGTGGCGAGATTGTTATTACTATGATTAACTCGGTAAGATGCCATACGTCTAGATATACGTAAACCGTGGTTACTGACTGGCTATAGTGACTATGTACTATAGTCACTATATGAAAATCGCCTATGAAAATAGCTAACAGAACGAGCACTAACATTTTTCTGTAAATACTTACCAGGTAAATAGTAAAAAAATATTTTTATAAAAAAAGAATTTTAATTGTATTTTCCTCAATATAAAAATTATGTGGTGTTGCATTAAGTAAGGACCAGTTTTTTTTTGTTATTTCAAGTTTGTACTGGTTTTAATGTAAAGGAAGACATAAATAGGATTAATGATGGTAATTTGTGCACAAATCTCGTTTTAAAACAAAGAAGCTATCGCCAGTAATGCGAGGTATTACCGAGTTTATGACGTCTTCACAAATACACCTTTTTTTAAATGAACAACTTGAAAGTATGCTAATTTTATTTCTGTATCCAAAGGACATGTGAAACATTATGAATGCATATTTATGAAGTAATTTAGTTATTGTACTCCTGCCACATGCAAATATGTTGTTTTGCACCTTTGTTCCTTTGAATGTTTGGATCTCATATGTTAAGCACCTAATTTGTCATTGGTTTCGTAGACGTGTTCACCGTTATCTAACTGATTCTGTTTGCCGTTATTGCTTATGGTTTCTTAGTTAGACAACTGCATGTAACAGTGTGAACTTAATCTTAGTCCTGTTATTTTGGAATCAATCCTTCCTTCGACTAAGTCCGATTTCCAAAGCATGGCTAGTATAGTCTCAGATGACTGACGTACCTAGTCAATTTTTGTAGTAAAAATCAGGTACTTTTTACTATAAAGTAGCAACTTTACTCAGACATCGTATATAGCGTGCATTATTATTGGAGTGACCTTTATTTTTTTTACTTCTTAAACATCCAAACTTGTCTCCATAAGTCAAGTGTAAGTTTTTTGTTAGTCTGCACCGGCTGGGTGGCCACCCAGCAATGTAATAATAGTATTTGCGTCACGGCAACCTGATTGCCATAATTTTGTCGAACCATGAGTAAGCATGAACGTGGAAGGCAACACACCACAGACAATGGCGGTCAGTTGAGTTTTTCAGATAGATTCTAATAACTTCCGTCAATGCAAATGATTTAAGCCTTGACACCCAACACGTTATTCAAATTACCGTCGGCATTTATTCGCTTTATTTCACTTATTTCCATAAAATCATCATAGTCATCCTAGTTTCCGTAATATGATCGTGATATATTTTTTTAATTTAATATCTATCTATTGAAGGATCGGGTTATGGGGTACTTAAGTTTCAGCACGAACTAGAAGTATACAATTCTTTCTATGATGATTTTATAAACCGTATTTTAAAAGTGAATGTTGTTGTTGGTTCCAGGTGGTAAGGGACGCGCCGTGGGAGTACGACGAGGAATTTCTAGAGAAACACAAGATAGACTTCGTCGCACACGATGACATTCCCTACACTACGGAGGATTGTGAAGACACTTACGCACTCATTAAGGCTAAGGATATGTTTGTCGCCACACAGAGGACAGAAGGTGAGAAACTATTATCTGCTAGTCTACATGCGTCAGTTAAGTAAAAAAAAATGAGAATTTTATGATCCCTAAACTAGCTAACTCGTCATTGTCGTTCCCTATAAGTGCCAAGTGGTATGTTTCTCAACTGTTTAATGTTTTGTTTGAAATAATTGTTTCTTGTTAAGTTTACCATGACCTCAGAAAGGTCTCTCATGCGCCATCATATCGTCCAGTTAATTCAGAAATGACTCCATTCTGTCTAGGTATGATAACATACTTATCTACCTTGAGCTACAAGTGTATGTTATGACTAGAACTTCGTACCTATCTATTGTATTTATATTTAACCTCGATTTAAATATTTATTACTTTTAGCTAGGCAATAAAAATGTTTCAAGCTTAACATTTAATAATAAGGTCTAATTCTTGGTAACTACTTATTAATCTCTGTATGTTAGTGTACAATCAACCAAGCTATTTGCTATGCAAGCAATAAAATAAAGATTCATACAGTACAAAGACCTTACCTGTTGCTATTCTAAATGGTTTTCGCGGAGAACCTAACTGGTAACCGGGGCTCCGACTCGACGTGCAGGAGAAGGCACGGGGTGGTTTTTAGTCAGTAAGAGTCTGAGGAGTCTGATACTCCCTCCCGCCTCACCCAGGCGGGAGCAGTCATTCGATGATTTTCCCACCTTAAAGGAAAAAGTTGTTTACTTGATGAAGAAGCCTAATCTACTGTAACTATTACTAGAATTAGTTTCCAACCAATGGTTACTGTCTCTGTACTAAATCCAACTATATTTATACTACTTTGGCTGACTAATAAGTACCTACTGGGGTATTTCCAAGCACTTTTTGTTCTGAAAAATGATATTTCCGTATCATATTGCACTGGTTTATAAATAACCGTCAAATAATTGAAAGTATTTTGTCGAACCCGCCACCTTGTTTACCAAACATCCCACTAAACTGTAGGCAATAGTCTAAATATTTGTTGGTTTAGAGACATTCCTTTACCTATTTATTTGACCGCATTCTCAATGGAATATTTCGGTCCTAAACGCCTTACTCATTAGTAAACTTATGCGCATTTGGTATTATTACTGTGTCACAGATATGTTTTAGTTTTAATTAGGGATTCCGTAATTGGTTAAGTCCGGCTAACGAGTTTTAAGTAACCAGTAACCAATTAGAATAGTTTGCTTGTCCTCTTTAAATCTATTGTGTTATTTTGAATCAAGTTTGTTACATAACACTTATTTTTTAATGATTCAACGTGGGAACAATAACGTAATTGCTAATTAAATTCAAGGAATTTGTTATAACCAAGGTTGGTCGATGAATCGACACATAATTATGTATATTGCTATAAACATTACATTGCACATATTTCAGCATGTCATATACTTCCAGAAATTAATTTTTATATTACTATCATTCATTAATGCTTTTCTCGAGATTTCCAATGAAATTATAAAAAATTTCTTACATAAAAACTATACTGACGATAATTACATTGACGGAAAACTTACATTTACTTCCATATTTTTTTATACATATATATTTATGAGGATTATTATGCACACATGCATGTAAATAGTACTAAAAGCATATCAATTGGTTGTTCCAGGAGTATCAACATCAGACATAGTGGCGAGAATAGTACGAGATTACGATATCTACGTGCGACGAAACCTGGCTCGCGGATACTCCGCCAAGGAGCTAAACGTGGGCTTCCTCAACGAGAAGAAGTTCCGCCTACAAAACAAGATGGATGATCTCAAAGAAAAAGGCAAAAAGGTAAATTAGCGTTTTTAATGAATCAGCCTGAATTATTATTGGACAGCCCTATGTCCTGCAGCGGACGAACATAGCATAACGATCATGAAGCCTAAATTTCCTACACAGCATAACATTAACACAATTATAATATTCTTCTTTCTGCTCTTCACTCAGTACTTGTGATCTGCGCATTAACTTATTTTCAGATTTCTATTTGAAATCATTATACTACTTTCTTCATACATTCTATGTCTTGCTGTAACCACAGTTGGAAACTATCGTAGGGTAACAGATGTGCGGAAAAGTTTCGGTCCTTTAAATAGACATGTACACGAGACCAGTTATTTATATTTCAGTACAGTTGATCGTAAAATAAAATAAACCACTTAGGTAATAGTAGTGATACCGATACATAGATAGCACTTTAACATTTAACCTTGTAATATCACTTATTAAAAGCTAGTTTAGTTTTTGTAAACATATTGTGTAGATATGTAACACTACACAGATATATCGTCTGACCTCGCTGTTGCCAAGAGGCCGGCAACCTGTTGCTGTTTCGGTTACAACGAACTCTTTCAGTAAACATTCGAATTTGAACCTTGAAACTAAGTGAACTTGATCGACTTTGATACGAGTTCTCGATCCTTCGCTAAATATTATTGTTAGCTAGTCAATTTAATTTGAATGAGATTATTTCCAATTATTAATATAAGAATCTGGATTTAGTGTGATCGCAAAGAACTTTAAGTGTCTTAAGTTGAAATGTAGCTTCCGTTTGACCAAAGCTGGAAATCATATTTTAATAAAATTATTTACTTGCAGGTGATGACAAACATAGGTGAAAAGCGAGTGGACATCCTAACGAAGTGGGAGGAGAAGTCTCGGGAGCTGATCGACGCGTTCCTGCTCCTGTTCGGGCCGGACGGGCGGCTGTCGAACATATGGAACGAGTCCAAGGGCCGCCTCATGCAGGCGCTCAGCCAGCCGCCCTCGCCGCGCGGCTCCCCGCCACCTGGAGAGAACGGAGACTCACACTCCCCAGTGCACAGGTACTTACTCACTTTCATACTTTAGCTACGTACTAAAAGTTGGTTAGATATTTTGTTTAACTGGCCTAATATAAAGTCGTGGATGTATCACACAACAGAGTCGCTCTGTTGCTTTCATAGTTAATGCGTTTCACCCTGCACTACTGGCAGGTTGAGAGCACGAACAGTCGACATGACTGTGTAGAAAATTGACATTTTTAGATATTTTATTCGAAGCCTCTTCTAAGGAAGTATGAAGACTTGTAATACTTATAGAAAATCCTCTCATAAAGAGTTTATTTACAACCATTTTTATCGGATCGCATTTACATACATATTTAGGTATAAAGTCTACTAAAATAGGTAAACATATCTGTTGAGGCACCTGTCTCAACAACGCCGGGCGCGCCCGCGCACCAGCGGCAGTGAACGAGGGACGCGGGGGGGCTGCGGCTCGCCGGCCGGTCTACAGCCGAGCCCGCGCCCCGCGTCGCGCCAGTCAGCTGTTGCATGCTTAGACGCACGGCTGCGCTTACGCATTTTTTTTACTTGTTACTAAATTCTTATCTACATCTTGTTATTCCGCTCTTATACTAGTCATTACATTTTATATACAGTCCACTCGCATTTTTATTTTATCACATCGACAAGAGCTATCGTCGCGTTTATATCTAAACTAACTGTAACTCTGTTTCCTGCAGTAGGAGCTCAGTATCGCCGCCCCCGCCCAAGTCGCGTCGCTACGAGACTCTGTACGAGGCGCAAGCAGGTAACTGGGTAATTATTGCACCGCTTGTATTAGTCACACGCACACACACACAGACACAGTGCTCTATAACACAAACTAATCTGTGCGTAGTTGCGTACTGAAATAATGCTCTTAGTAAGTTTGGGTGCACTATTTGAAGGCACTGTTTTTATGCACTACTTTTTTAAAATAGAATTTGGCAATTATTAATTTGTGTGTTTGACAGCTTATTGAGTGACGTAGTGTAGGCAGACTGTAGAATATAGACTGTTTGTTCAGTTTTCTAATTGCAAGCATGTGCTTAGCTATGTAAAAGCAATTGTAGCTTCTTAATCAGTTTGAAAAAAGTCAAGAATATGATTTATGTAGTGTTTGCGAAGTAAATATAACAATTATCTAGTATTCACTTAACATTTTCAATAGAAAGTGTTGTTGATAGAAGGTCCATAGACTGACCGAGAGTTTGTCCACAGATGCATCGAGCTCTGAACGTGCTGGCGACTCGGAAGCGGCCACACAGCGGCAGCTGACGGACGACGGGTCGGACGACAGCGACGACGAGTACCAGGACACCAGCCCCTACCTCTAGGGCCGTCCACTAAAATATTATAGAATAAATTACGTCGTTTAAATTTTGTATGCGCGTTGAGTACAATTGAGCGAGTGTGTCGATATTATGTGATCCATAATATGAAATCATAAATCTTAATCCTATAGTTATTTATTTGTCTTGTTAAGTATTTTAGTTCCCTTTCTCGCCCCAATATTATTGCAGGATGGCTGCATGTTGTTAGCACCTATAAATACCATTGTGTAAGATATCTGGTGCAAAATACATAGAGTTGAGATATTAATTTTATTTATATTATTAAATAATTAGGTGACACTTTTTGACAGTCGATTAAAAAGGTGCTTATTAATGACAATTTGTTTTATTTGTAACAACCTTATTTCATTAAAATGTTCAAGAAACTAAAAGTTCAAAGTTTCATACGTAATATGCTTAGTAATATTACGCGCGCTACTGATCATACAAACCACACTCCAACAGCCATTCAGTCAGAAAGGAAGTCTTCTGTCGTCATTAGCGTAACGTGTCTCACCGGGGCTCCGTAAAAATTGTTTGGCCCTTATGAAGCGTAAAGGTTTTCATAAGGGAAAAAACTTGTAAAATACTAATAATCTGTGTAAAAATTAGAAAACTTTCCAGAGAACTTTCTCTGCCTAATTATCGAACTCATTACTTTACTTTTTTTAAGTATCTGCCAACCTTTGAAAGCATACTTTACTCGGGAAAACAACAACCTTTTACCTTTGTGATTACTAAAATAAAATACAAATTGAGTAGTTTATATTATTTTTTGCATACGCACTTTGGGGGCCCTCCAAAGAGTATAATAAGTATATAAGGGCTTTCGGCGCGCGGGGGCCCGTATGATTGATACGGCTGTTACGGCGCTAGCTACGCTCCTATCTGTAGTGACAAACAACACATTGATCACAAAACCAAAATGCTGACAATGTTCCCTTTCATAATATTTTACAGTATGACATTGTGCCAAAAATATTGTAGAATCGAAAGTTACATTGGATATTGTTATTTTTATACTGCTACTACTACTAACGATTCATAATTATTGTAGCAACACATGTCATGTTAAGAATTTCAAAGTTCATGGTCTGTTACATGACACTGTAAATTACTGTGTGCTTTCAAATACTGCTAGATCAGCAGTGTGAGGTGTCATAAGCGATGTTAGGGCAAATAAATTGCTAATTGCAGTACATTACCCATAGTTTTGTATTCTGTGGCACTGTTCGCTTACCATCTAGTGATTCGTCTGCTTCCATCAGATCCTCAGATCAGACTCCATAAATAAAAATGCTACATGAACAAGTTCCTAGGTTGAGTTTTGACTAAGTATATGTTCTTGCAGCATAAAAGTTTCAGGTTTTAGGGAAATAAAGGCTGGTGAGAATGGGTATGTAGTAGGTACTTAGAAAAGTGCATTAGTATGGACTAAATTTCTAATAAATTATAAGTTCATAGTCCATATGAGAAGAAGCTTTGCTCAGTAGTAGGCACTTATAGGAATGAACTAAAAGAAAACTTTCATGAAGTACATAGTTAAATTGTTTTATTTCTAAAAAATATGATGCAGTCAAAATTCAAATACAAAAATAAAAGAAACAATTCATTCTAAACACTGATAAAATGGATATACAAATTAGTAAAAGTTCTTATACAAAAGAAACTGGGTTTGCCCACTGACAGGCTAGAGAAGTCTCGAGAATTGAGTAACATTCTTTCAAGTTATAAAAAAATATTAAACATTGCAACCTCATGGTCTCTCCATTATGTTATATTGTGTATAAACTTGAGGTATTAATAATTCAGTTTTACTAACTACACTATTACACTTAAGTACCTAATAATTACTAAACTTACAATAAATATTACAGTAGAAATGCCTTCATGGTATCACAAAGTTCATAAACACAGACTCATTTCAATACAGATTGTTCTTGTACTTATTTTCTAAAACAATAGTTACTCTCATAGTTCTGACTTGTCTGAGGAACCTCGCTCACCCTTGGCAGTAGTCAGTTGTTCATTCAAGCAAGAGTCATCCGTCCCCTTCAAGGCATTGTAAGTACACAAGTGCTTGATGAGATCTACCTCTCCTTGATGGTTCCAATACCAGTCCTCAACAGCTCCTTCGTTCTCCTCCAAAAGGCTCTCGCATTGTGTTTTCATATGGGTTATCTCAGCTGACGGCTTATCCCACAACTCTAATGGAATCCCAAGGTCCACCTTCACACCCTTATCAACTAAACCATGGAGAGTTTTAAACGTTTGACTCATGCCTTTAGCGAACCTCGTACTGTCCTGACGTTCTTTGTGAATATTGTACTCCAGAATCTTTTCACAAACACCTTCCAGAGATTCTATCAACCTCAGCTCCGACTTCTGATACTTGGTCTTCTTCTTAGGTTGCACGTCATCGAGGGAGTAGCCAATTTCTATCACATCGTGAACCTTACCGGTCTGCTCTAGCCTCTCCTGTAGCTCGGTGGCCAATATCTTGCAAACTTCACAACGGTTTGCATATTTAACACCTACATCTTCCTCTGACTTGATCTCGTTTTCGGCACGACATAAAATTTGTGTTGTAAATAATAAATAAGCACAAAGTATTGAAAAAATCATTGTAATTATTTAATTTTAATAATGTTTATTCAAAATTCTCAAACTAACACTCCACTCCAAAATGACAAGAAATGTAATTTGACAGTTCATTGCTGACATTGACGTTTTATACCCAAATTCATTGTCTACGTTCAACGAATGAAAAACAGGCACGTGTCGTTGAAAATAGGTGATTATTTTTATTATTGATCTCCAACTCCAATTTATAACGGTCTTGGTCTAAACAAAAGGTTTATGAAAGGAGAATATTAACAAATTAGCAATAGCATTAAGCGATCAAAGCAATTTCGATTAATCTTAATTTGATCATTCCGTTACCAACACTCGCAGTCATAACGATTCGCGGGATTTTTAATTTTGAAAATTATTGTATCCCTTGCTTAATATGATAAATTCCAATACAAAGAATTCGAGTAAAGTTCAACAGCTAACTTTTCTGAACAATATTGCGTTTGCGATTTTAAGAAGGAAGACATCCAGTGTATTTATTCCCCCTCTTTTCATAATAAAATTGGGTTTAAGTTTCCTAGAAACTCAGAATTTGATATGTAAATGAAAAGATCAACATTCATCAGTGTGATGTTTGTATTTCATATTGTGCTTGTTCATTCAGCCATTTTATCCATTCTGTGTTTACTACCTTTTCTAATGTAATTTCTTGGAAGACTTCACTTAGAGACTTTTCCTGAAAACCTAACTTTTGAAACATTTTGATACTGATACTATTAGACAGTGATATTTTCGCTTCAAATGTTTTTAAGTTTATGTGTTGAATTCCATAGAGAAACATCAAGATAACTGCCTCCCAACCAAGCTTCTTTCCTCTGGCAGATTCCTCGGCTATCATTATTTCTATTTCACCAACTCTAAGTTCTTTATCAGTTATAAAAATATTGGTATCTCCAACCATTGCACCTGAAATTAAATTTGATAAGAATAGAGGGATTAAAAATAATGAAAAACAAATTGATTTTAACAGTGCTGCACTGAGAGAGATTCCTCATAATTACCTGTTTCTTCATTACATTTCTCAAAGATGGTTTTATTCAGTATTATAAACGTGCATTCTGAAAATAGAATTTGTTAATTAGATTCAAGACAATAATGCACTATTATAGTTGCTGATTATTGGAACAGCATAACAACAGTAGGTATATAAACAGAACATACTATCATCATCTTCTCGCCAAGATTTTTGCATTTCATATTCTTGTTCGAGAGTTAATGGTTCAGAGGCTGTAAGCTTCTGAAGTTCTTCAGATTTCATCCATTTATGATACCTGCAAATGAAAACAAAGGTTAGCTAAACATGATACCACGAGTTTAATGATTTAATTACATTTTTTGAACTTAAACACTTACCTGGGTACATGATATTCTCGGTATGGTACTAGTACTACGTTTCGCCCAATAATTTTAGTATTGCTGTTTAATTTCATCTTTTTTTCTGTGAGTTTACTACTTCTTGTTTATTTACCTACTGTCAATGTCATTTTGACCTAAATATAAAGCTTAACAAGTTGTCCGTCAGTTGTCACAGTCTTCTTAAATTCTTGGTCTAATCTGCTATGTTTGCTTGGTTGAATTTTATTAGTTCAATTTATATTCCAAATATATACAAAATATTAAAATATTTTTAGATACGTATGCATAATTCTAAAATTTCTTTACTAACTGTAATTCATGTGTTGAAGTTACGAACGCAACAATTACACGTCAATAATGACAATGTTATCTGTCAAGAATGTCAAAATTGGCGTCAATTGTTCACGCAATCGCTATTTGTTGTGTTGATCACTCGCTCTTTATCGTGCGGTCTTATCGAAGCAAATGTTTATCTGGTATTCGCACTGCCCTTTATATTCGTTATCAGCTGTACTACCTCACACATAGCTGACCTATTTATCACTCACCTTGGTGTTTACAAAATTAATATTTTTTTGTGTTAATCAACAAAGTAAAGTAAGTTGTTACTTGTTGTACTTATTTGCCAGTCTAATAAGTTGGTATTTGAAGTTTAGATTAATAACAATATAATTTTACTTTCAGAAATCTATCACGATGAATCAGTTTCAAACGGAACGACGTCTGTGTTGGAGTTACTTGTTGGCGGCAGTGCTGCTTGCTGTATCAGTTTTGTGCATTGGAATACCGTACAACCACTGGCGCACGACCCTCGACGTGTGTCCCGGCGGATACTTTGAGAATACGAATTGCGGCTGTATTTTATATGGAGTGAGCACATTCCAGTACTTCAATGGTGGCCATAACTCTTACTGCTTATACGCAGTGTTCGCCCCACTGCCTGTAATTGCGTATGCCGTGATTATGGCCCTGTTTCATATGTACAGAGTGTGTATTAATAATATTGGACAGTATGAGGATGAAAAGTCTACAACTATGGAGGAAATGTAAGTATCTTCTACATTCATACATTAAGTTAAACTATTTAATTCTAGAAGTGGTACACATGTGTGAACCTAACACTCACATTTCACCTGGTACTTAAGGACACCCAAATAATACCAGGTGAGCCTATTACCATATTTATAGAGTACATTTCTGTGTCTGTGAGGTTACTAAGATTTTTCATATGCCAATAATAGTTAGCCCCACCCAAATTAAACATTAGACCTCTTACCTTCTTGCATTTGTTACATCTGGTATTGTCTAATAAGAATTATTACTAACTTGGTGTTATTATAAGTAATAACAATTTATGAACATATATCTGAATGTTTCAGAGAGGGTGAGTCAATAGTAGTGAGTACAAGGACGAGAGTGAGCAGGAACAATGATGCGGTTATATATTGCTGGATCCCCACTTCTAGTATAGCGGCCCTGTTTGCAGTGTACTCACTCGTACATGCTTCTATTGTGACCGCTGGGTTTATTAAGACATGCACTCAGTACAGAGGATATTTAGTGAGAGTAAGTGTGCATGTTTTATTAGTTTGATATATTCTTTATGACACTTGTTAATTTTAGATGAATTACTTTCTAAAAGTCTTGGTTATAAGATTTATCCAATATAAGCTATAAGAATATTGTTCAGCAATATTGAATAATACCAGATTGTATTATTCAATATTGTTCAGCAGTATTGAATAATACCAGATTGTATTATTCATTATTGCAATAATAATGTAATGCATTGCAGGAGCTCCGTGCCACTGGGGACCATGCAACCGCAATACATTTCCGACTGGCATGCCAAGCAATTTTCGACTTTATGGACTACCTACAAAAGGATGCACCGAATAGCAGACGAGGTGATTTCATCAACACCGGTGTGGCATTGCAGCTTGCAATATTTTGTGCATGGGCATCTGTAGCTATATGGATAGCTATTGTCATATACACCGCAATGAGGGCCTACAGAGAGCGACATGTACTAACATGCTGTGGGAACTAATTTAGGAAAGGAGTGTTGTAATTATAATGCACAAACATCCAGCCAATTAGACGAAGTGACATACTTAGAGTGAGGTGACCTTCATTTTAATTTGTGAATTAAGGTCAAATTAGATCAGCGAAGTTACGCTTGTATTAATTATTTTTTTGAAAATTAACAATTAGTATGAAATAGGAAGACAATTTTGTATTAAAACGTCATTGTTATAAACGGAACTCAATAATAATTCTCTCTTACGGTCAATGAGAATAACAATGTAGACGTAATGTTGTTAATTACTAATTAACATGTGCCTTGAACCTGACGAACAACGAACTCATACATTATAGTACATAACCTTCTTTATAATATGAACAATCTTTATAATTATCATGATTGTTGTCTTCATTACCACATCAGCCATAGACACAAGTCAATTAGTGAAGACTGAGCTTTAAACCGTTGTTGTAACTTAGCTTTATTGTGTAGCATTTTAACTTTTAACAATCCACCGAATGCAAATTTAATCATTCCAGTAATTTAGTAATTTTAGAACTTTTACCATTTTTATTGCTATTGTGACATTTTTTTTTATTAATTTATAATTAAGAATATTCGTATTATGTGTAAATTGTATTTTATTTATTAAGGATAGGATTTAATGAAATCAAAATGTCGTCCTATGTGCCGTCCATTTACGTGTAGCTAGTAAGTTAATGTTTTTATTTTAAATGTATTTTATTACATTATTTTACAAGTTAATTATACAATTTATATTTCATGTCTTGTTTCATTTGTACTCAACATGGTGTCCGTAAATCCGTTACTAACTGGTTACAACCAATGGGTTGTGACAGGTTTTAAAAAGTAAAAAGCAGGGAGATCACATTAAAACATTTAATAGTAAACATTACAAAAAACAACAACATTATAGTTTTACAATTAGACTCTAACATTTATTCACAATGAATAATAAAGTACTTAGTGTAGAGATTTCCTGTTTAATAATATCATCAGTATAATTTATTAATTATCAAGTAATAACAAAAAGTATCTTAATAAAGACCTGCTATACAATAGGGATGATGACAGGGTATGAAAATTAAAAATCGAATTAGTCCGTCAGTTAATTAATTAATATTTTCTCGTTTAAGAACACAATGCTTCAATATAACGAATCAAAATTTAGAAGTGGGAGCTAACTACGTCATTGAGTATAAAACGTATACAAAGTGACGTGACGCGATATTTCAAATCAATATATCGTCGAACGTATAGGTGTTCGTAAGAAAATAAAAAATATGTGTCTAATGATTTTAAATAATCTACCAGACGGATAAAATAAAAATTAGTCATACCCTATTCTGGGTGAGTTAACATGTATATCACCCAGATATTGTTCCAGACAGGTCTTCTATGGCCAGTTCCAATAACTTATTAGTCAGTACATTTTGCAACTGCCACGCAGTGTCACCCGCTCTGCACTGCGCGTATTGATCGTAGCGTGATATTTTACATCCTGTAGCTTTCCGCGTTAAATGGATCTATCCAACACAAAACTAATTTTCTAAATCGGTCCAGTCGTTTCTGATATTAGTGCGTTCAAACTAAGAAACTCTTCAGCTTTATTATCTTATACTCTTCTATAAAGCGGAAGAGTTTGTTTTAATTTGTTTGTTTGTTTGAACGCGATAATCTCCGTAACTACAAGTCTGATTTGAATAATTCTTTTTGTGTTGGATAGCGCATTTATCGAGGATAGCTAAAGGGTATAAAACATCACGCTACGACCAATAGGAGGTGAGCAAAGCGTGTGAAACCCTGCGGAAGTAGCTAGTAATAGTATAAGATGTCCGTACATTTTGGCATGAGCTCCATTCATAGAAATAAATTCAAAGAACCATCTCCAATAGGCATATAGCAACTGACTAATGGGTTATTGAAAGAGATCATAAGTTTAACTTAACGAGAACCTCCTTTTTTCCAAGTCGGTTAAAAAAGTAACATTTCAGAAGCTGCATTCTCACTACTATACAATAAATTACTCATATCGTACAAATTGTATTTAAATACAACATTCAATACAATCAATCTACATAGTTACATTATTTCCGGAGAAAAAGTTGAAATAGATCTTTTATAAGACATAAGAAAATACTTCTTGTAACAAGAGAAAGATTCATAAGTTTCAAATACCTTGAGTAAAGACAAAGTGCGAAGTTTAAGTATAACATTAAATTAATTGATTTTCAACTTTATACCTTGGACATAAGGTTTAAAATCGATTAAAAAAAATTTCATTCACGACACGACAGTCCAGCATATCAGCCAACACAAATCTATGAACTTCTTTAATTTAGATAATGAACTTTATTCGTTACCCAATTAATTCCAAAATCTATTGTTGTCCAACAGGTAAAATAGTACAGGTACATATTAATATCAAAATCTATTTCCTAATTATTTCAATTAATTCCTGCAGTGCATAAAATATTCAGTTTAACAGCAATAAGTCTGTAACAGTTTGTGTAGTTTCCTATGATACAATGTATGAAAATATTGCTTTCTTTTATATCAACAACAATTTTACTAATTTTACAAATATCTATTTAAGTATATGAACCATCATACATGACAGAGGTATAGTTAAAACATAGTAAAAAGGTACGATTTATAATTTTAACAATTTAATAACTTACAGGCAATAATTTTTCAATGAGTTATGATTGTCGCCTACCATAGGGTAGTTTCCCAAATTTTATTTTAATGTCCGTCTGGTACATTAATTTAAAACTATAGACACGATTTTTTTCTTTTCTCACAAAATTAAATACTTTCGACAATACATTTATTTGAAATATCGTGTGACGTCACAGCGTGTCACATTTTGTAGCACGTTATGACGTAACGACCTCCCACTCCTAAACTTAGCGCCATTTTATCTAAGTATTGCAACTTAATACGAGTAAATAAAAAAATACGGGTCTAATATTTTTTCATTATCTAACTGACGGACTAATTAGATTTTTAATTTCGATACCCTGGAAACTACCCAACTGTAAGGTAATTAAAACTTACAAAAAGTATTACCTATATTTTGTTGTTTGCAATGTTCATCAGATATAAAAGTTGGTACCTAAACTAAAAGTACAAGTGTCCATATATCACATAGCATACGTATTTAATTTTGGAATGTGTTTTAGAAGATATAGGACCTATCATAAACATGTGAAAATAAAAATAAAAATATGGCAAACATTGGTTATTGTTTTTAAATCCTTAATAAATTACAAAAATCATACGCACCTCAATGAACGAGACACGTGTATTCATTCATACAACATATTCACAAAAGTAGTAAAAATAAATATTCGAATGGCGACCGACTCAATAAAGGAGAATGGCAGGTTTGTATGGAGGTTTGGTACCGCTATAAAATTTTGTATTTGTCATTGTTTTAACCAAGTGAATAATCTAAACGATAGATATTTTTATTATGAAGTTTAGAAAAAAATTACATATTTTTAGAACTTCGGGTTCAAAAGTTATTTCACTTTGAAAATGTGCAGAAGGTACGTAAAGGCGGTATTACACTTGCCATTGCGTATTCGCTTCATTTGTACAAATATTTGTGAACTACGTACAAATGGCGTCCAAATAGTATCTATAAATGTAAAAGCGTGCAAATATACGTATATAGCAAATGAAGACGAATAAACCCTCCACACATGGTCTGTTTTGGCCGTACACAACAAATACGCAATGTCAAGTATAATGCCACCTTTACGCAAAAGTACATAATATGACAAATGACAGATGACAGTTAATTGAAAAATGTCAATGTTGACTTATTTTTTATTTGGTTGTTTTGTTTACAAACTAAACTCTAAACACTGCTCGCTACTCGTGACTGTTACACTTTGTATTATGAGTAAATTAATTAACTGTTAATTCAGCAAGTATGCTGTAACTATAGAGTTTTACAGAGTATGCTTTACAATCTCTTTCATTTACTAGGTGCCTACGAAAATGCAAATTAATATTGTGAGCGACTGTCATTGGGTAGAAGGCCTACATTTAGCAGTGGACGTCTTTTGGCGGATATGATAAAACTAATGTCTCACTTCACCTTGAATCTTGCGGGCAGATGCAAGATTTAATGTGTAAAATCAAGATTCGAGGCAGAGGCCTGATATACAAATAGTCTTTAAGTTAATTCGATTTAAACTTAAGCGTAGCTCTTTGAGAAAGTATTTCTTCTGAAAACTGGTTGCTTAGCAAGCGTTTTAAGGTTTAATTTCTAATAAGTAAGTCAAATAAGTAAAATCATCATCAGTTTCATCATTAAGTCTATAAGTGGCCCATGCCGACCGAAGGTCTCTTCTCACTGGATTAGGTTTAAGCATTAACTCGTTGAGTACCGTAATTATAGACACAATTAAAGAACAATAGGTTGTGGTCATCGGTGACCGCTCTGTGTTTGACAGTTTAATCAGTACGCTAGCTTAATGTGGGTTGGTGATTTCAAACTTATAATTAGAAATTATAAGCCCAGGTTTCCTCACAATGTTTTCCTTCACCGTTTGTCAGTGGTGTCTTTGTACTTTCTTAGATTATTAAATAATAAATAAAAAATATATATACATAACTCGAAAAAGTCACATTGGTACTTTGCCGTTGCAACTTGCACTCTCATGCATGAGAAACGGGCTTCTTAAACCTCCTGGCCACCACAACACAAGTAAAGAAATGTAAAATGAAAATGAACATTTTTGGTATAAAACTAAAGCAATCTAAAATAAAGATGGCATTTATTTTATAGATTGTTTATATATAGTTACTAGGTACCTGTTTAAAATAAAACAAATGTATTATTTTGAAATACTTTTATTTCATTGTATTTAGGTTGTTTCTAGGAGTACTTCTTCTAAAAAGAGAGCAGGCGGTGTCATACAGCACACACTTCATTAATTGCTGATATCTGTAAACAAGTAAGATAACTGTAAATAAAGTAAACAAAACTACATTTTTTCCATTAGTTTCACATGTTATAATTCTGATTCCCTATCTCAAAATAGAAAAGATAAAAATAAATATTTGATTACATTATTTGATTTTACAATGTTAAAATGCCTTTAACTCGTCGAGTACCATCATTATAGACACAATTATAGAACAATAGGTTGCGGTCACCGGTGACCGCTTGGTGTTTGACAGTTTAATAGGGTATTCCTATAACACACATCATAGGAGCTCAAACAGCATGCTAATTAATCAATTATTATAATTATAACATGTGTATAAACCTATTATAAACCGGTTATACACTTCACATACCTATTGAAGCTCTGACAGCCGATCAACATCTTCTGGCCTCATCTGTTCTACAAACGGCAATGTTAAAGTGAGGCTTAGTCCATGTTTACATAACACATTACATCCTGATAGTGAACACTATGAGGTGGTATGTCAGGTTGTGGTCTTATAGATCCGACTCTTGTTAAGGCTCTCAGCCAGCATGGAACACGATCTTCATCATTGGAAGTAAGCTAAAAAAAGTAATATTATTAGAATGTCATATTGACTTTAAATTATATGATAATAGTATATGGTTAATACAATAAATTATTACCTTTCGTGGCTGAATCCAATCAGATACTATATGAGCTAGTCTTTGCTCCTGTTCGTTGGCGCCTTCAATTAAACCCCTGCGTCACCTTATCCTTGCAATGGAATGCCCACATACGACACAGACATGTCAATGATCAGTTTGTTTGCTGGACATACTTTCAGGAACATCCCAATACATTGCTAATTGCCAGCAAGCATGGCAAATATGGTCGGTAGGAGAGATCTAGAATAAAATGATACATTATAGGTAGATAACACTATGCCCCCTTTATTTAGGCAACAAGGTGACTTTCGATACGTCATGTGTAATTATAGGTAAGTACCTACTTACATCTCTAGGATAAGTCCACAATGGGATATTGTTGACCACGTCTAGTCTTCACTCTCATTTCCTAGAGCATGCCGTCTCATGCGACAAACTCTGGTTGTAATTAATGCACTGTAAATTCGTCATCGCGACAAAATACAACACACTATGCACAAATGAAAATAAGTGTATTTTCGCAATTTCGGCTACGGAGGAACGGCTGCCCAACTCAAAGTATCACCAGATGAATAAAATGACTTCCAATTTGTACAAACACATCATAACACCGCATTCGAAACCAACAGCAAGGCGCACTTGACATTGACAAATCGTCTTCAACAACAAATGTCAAATACCAGTTCAACATTGCCATATTCAAGTTTGTGAAAATGTTAATTATCGTTAATAATCCATGTAGACCTCACAAAATGAAATTAAAATAATGATATTTACTTATAAAAAATGTTTGAAATGGAAAGGAAAATATTCCATTGATATTAAAATAAATGAGTTTATGAAATAGCGACATTCAATATACTCTGATTTCATGTTTACGCATGGCAACTTTATAAACGTCAATCGCGGTTTGTTTTTATTTAATATGTAGCCGTTTTGTTGATTGCTTCTTATCATTATTGAATATGAGATTTTCTAGGGCTTCCCAAGTTCTAAAAATCTATTAAATATGCTAACATAACGTATTTAGAGGATTCTATAGCTACCCAATTGCCCAAGGCAAAACAATGACAAATCTTTTTTTAGCAAAGCGGTACGAAATCTGCCGTTCTCCTTTTGTTTTATTAACTGTACATTACACGTTGACGTACATAGTATTACCACCTATATAATTATAATGTACGCACGTGTACCTTGAGTATAATATTTATGTACAAAAAAAGAATAATAATAAATAGTATCGAGGCATAAAATTCTAGCTTAATAACATTGTAGGGCGAGACCACGACATACCGCGTTGATGAAGTTACGTCGCATAGTAATGCGATGCGATGACTCAACCACGCAACATAAAATGATCATTTTACATCATATTAGACTAAGACGTTAAAAATTACAAATAAAAAATCAGAATCCACGATAATTTTTGTATGGCTTCATCGTTCCAACAAAGTATTGTAGTCTCACCCATAGCCACACACGACACCTACGAGCCATTTACGCCGCCCAACTTATCAATTCTTAATGACAATATTAATAGTACTTTAATCATCTCTAAAGGCTCAATTTGGCAACATTGAACATTGTTATATCACACAATGTAAATTACTCAAAGAACACCCATTCCATTCAACTTGGCATACTTAATAAATATCTTTGTTTAATTCTTGCGGTGGCGAAAAAACAGCTGTAATAATAACTCGTGGTTCTAAAATTTGGCAAACATTATCTGTATTGTGACTTACATTTTTTGTTTTAACTAAAATAAGTCTAAATCTATTTGATTCACAAATGGCAGAAATTACTGCATTCAACAGCACCTTTGTTACATAAAAAATAATCATATAATAATCACAGATTTCGTTAACAGCTTGTGATGTATTTACGTCTGAGTACTGACTCCACAAGCATTCCATAAACATCATCAACTAAATTCATATTGTTACTTTCGTGAGACATACTGAATTAATTATAGTGATTTTCGGCTTACTCGTTTAATGATTTGATGCAAAAAATTAATCGAATTCCTCGTCAAATAATTACGTGAGTAAGCCGAAAAACATAATAAATAATAATCAACTAAGTTTCTCCCAACTCTGTTGAGAACGGCTCATCTTAATCTCTAAATTACTTAAAAAAACTTAATAAATACATTCGATATTTTGGGGCTCTTCTTAGTAAACTAGCAACTGGACTGTTGGCAGACTTGTAATCAATATCTTAGGCGTAATAAAATATATGGTTACTGGTTTGTGTTGCCACACTCTGCCTCCCAGTCTTCCGGTATCAGCTTGGTGATGTGTTCCGTGAACTGGGTGTATGTACAAGGGTCGTCACAGAATGGTAACTTCAGCTCCAAAGGAACTTCCACCTTCGTGTTGTTGCGATAGAATGTCTGAAAATAGAATATGACATTATGGTCTAAAATACTAATCTTCTACTTCAAGTCTTATGATTATTCAATAGATACCTTCACGAAGAAAGACTCCTGTTCAATATCTTCATGCAGTTCCAGGACAATGCTTGCGCCATAATCTGGTGCTAAAAGGTCATCGAACCCCAAAGCACGCCAGAGTGACACCACAGTGACGTCATGTCCGGAGTACACGTATAGAGTGCGATCCACGTTCTCGTGGCGAACTGCCTCGTCCAAATACAGCTTCATTTCTTTTAAGAGTGGTCCTAGAATATTTCGAGGTTGATTAAATCAATACTATGCTGTTCAAGTAATTCATAACATCACGCCTTTTATTCCCGATGGGGTAGGCAGAGGTGCACATTATGCTACTGTACAATGTAACACCCACTTTTCACTATTTATGTTATTAGTCCCATGTAATAGGGGGGGGTGCCATATACCGGGCACAATTCCAGACTCAGTGTTACAACTGAGAATTTTTTTAAAACTAGTAATACTTTGCCCGACCCGGGAATCGAACCCGAGACCCCTTGCCTGGCAGTCGCACTTGCGACCACTCGGGCAACGAGGCACTCAGTCATACATATGTATTTAATTTCTCTAGAAAATTATCCTGAACATAGGAAAGTCGTGGCTAAGTTATTTAAAAAAGTAACTTAGTTCTAGGATTTCCATCAACTTTCCATGTTATTATACTCACCGATTTGTAACCTCTGCAAACTCTCATTGTAGGACAGCAAAGCCAAGCTCAACATAAACGGAGTTTTCATTTTACTGGGGAACACGGTTCTCGTCCACTCAGGAAGCTTCAACCCAGCCTCTTGTTCCGACAGGAGTGTACTATACAAGAAATCAACAGGCAATATACTGCGCATACTCTGATTGGTATGTTTGCTCAAATAATCAAATAATTCTGTGAACTTTGGATCAGCATTCTTTTCAGCCAGTTGCTCTTGGTACATGGCCTTCCATACTTTACAAGGTTTCGTTGCTGCAACTATCTGAAATATAAATTGTATTGAAATTCTAGACATCGTTAATTAGATTATACTTCAAGATTTCAAGTGATTTGATACCTTACATGCTAAGTTGTAAGGTTTTAAATAAGTTTGGACATTAGGTTGAAATGTTATTGGATTATAAGTTGCAAAGATCAAACGCTTATTATATGGGTCCTTTGTCCTTGTCATTAGGATGGAGATTTTTTTTTAGGGGGGAAAATCATCGAATGACTTCTCCATCGAAGGGAGTACTACTCATACATTTCGAGCTGGAGCCCCTGTAACCCGTTAGGTTCTCCGCGGCTCCGAATCGGCATCAGCCCTATTGAGCCCCATCCGTGGTGGTCTGATGGCTCTATGAGGCGCGCGCGGAACACGACGAGCAGTACGCTCGGGTGTAGGATGGAGATTAGGACTGAGATAACAGATTTTAACATACATTATCTAATTCTCTGGGTAGAGAGTGAACAGGAACTGGTTGCCACGGTAGTTCTGGGTGCCACAGCTGCCGCTCCGTAGGTGGGTACAGTCCAGCCAGGAATGTGTACGCACTCATCAGACAACGAGACTTGTCACTGCTGCGTATGAACACATCTTTGTCACAGTACTCTTCGGGAATAAAGTTTGCATAGTAACTTCTGTACTTTTTGCCCAGCTCATACAATTGTAGTTTGCCAGCCTGCAATGTATGTACAATTGAATAATTTTAATTACACTATTTCATTAAGTTACATAATTACATTTAGTTTAGGATTTGTGTTAAAAATAGGAGAAGACATAAGCCAATATAGAAAGATAAGAAAAACTACAATACAGTATGGCACATTCATAAATTCCCATTATCCATTAAAATATGAGAACCGATAAATAAAATACAAAGTAAAAATAATAATTACTCATTTCTTTTAGAACATCTATAGTGTACTGTTCACATTGATAACATGAAAACAATATCTATTGAAATTAACATCTGATGTTGTTGTCCAATTTGTAATATCAAAGGGTCATTTCACTATGTATAATGAGTTTTTTATGTAAGCAATTCATTATCTTAACACAACAAGCCATTATTTTACATTATGAGTGCTTACGTCAGTAATTACAATTACACAGTGATTATTTTATTTGATATTTGGTACATAGAATTTAGCTAAGGATAGCAATTGTAACTCTTCAATTGTTCAAAATTTTTTTTACTCTGTTTTAAATGAATGGGGAAAGACAAGCTCCTAGTTGTGATGAAACATAATAAACATAACATAAGTTTGGTAATCAAACTGCGTCCAACTTATTTTGAAGAACAAATGCAACACAGCATAATAGAAAAAATCTTAATATTACCTATTTCACATGGACAAAGAGTGTGTATTTATGTATGGACTACAGTAAATAAATAATTATAAAAGGTGCCTATTTATAAAGTAACTAGGTTTTTCTGTGCGGTTTCACCCGCTCTGCTCGGCTCCTATTGGTTGTATTGTGATGTTTTAAAGCCTTTCTCGATAAATCCAATATAAAAATAATTTTTCAAATCTGACTAGTCGTTCCTGAGATTAGCATGTTCAAACAAACAATCGAACCCTTCAACTTTATATAATAGTATAAGATAAAAACTTACATTAGTTAAGCCACCTAGTCCATCAGGCCATTGATAGTTTTTGTATGGGTCACTGTTGTAACTCTCCACTGGAGTTCTGGCTCCATGTCGGAACAGCTGGAATAATACATAATTATCATGATTAATAATTAAATAAGAAATAAAGAAAATATTAAAGCATCTTTAACTATAAACAAGTATTTATAGTTGAAGCTCCTCAATGTGATGAGAATTTTGTATTAACAAGGAATCATATTTAATCATTCATTCTACATGGTTCATAATAATAGTGAATTAAAAAAAATTGGAATAAAGTCTAATTCAAAGGCAAAAATAACTACTTAAAAAAATCAATAAAATAAATTAGAGAGAAGTACTCAAGTACTTCTTACTGAATTACTTATCATAAGTGATTACTTACAATAATAACAAGCCGCAACGTTTTAGACTCGTAAGGTAGTGTCTCGCTGAGCACACAGTACCCAAGTAAGCAGCTGAGCACTGCTAGCCCAAGGACTACCACAGCAACAGTTGTTGACCTCTTTGGTATTTGGTGGCATGTAGACCGCTCCACCTTCGGCGTTGAGTGACGACGCCATGTGTTCTCATCATTGTCGTATTCCATTGGCACAGAGTCGCGAATAATTGAGTACATAAATCTTAGGTCTTGCCACCCAAGAGACGACCGAACCTTGGGACGGTCGAAAGAGAATGTTACACTGCGAACTACACTTATACGACGACCTTCTGAGTCTTATCTCCAACAGCTCATGTTTATATAGTGTTAATAGTCTTCATAAGCAGTAAATTACAAATATTGAAATTGTATGGAGGGCTGGGAACAAATGCATAAAAACTAACTGCTAAAATTGTTTCAAGGAAATATGAGTCTTTATATCGGTTTTGTAAAGAATAAACGTGCTATAAAATATGTGTTTTATTCTGGATTTCCAATTTAACGTGCGTTTTTACGATAAATACGAGAAATCACTCCTTCCTTTGACAAAATATTGACTATTTGACATTGACGGATTGTGCGACTTTGACATTTTTATCAACATCGCTCATAGACAATACAAAATGTTCTTTTGAAAAGAAAATGGAAATGTCAGAAAAAGTAACTGTCAGGGTAGGTCAATAAACTTTGCGAAGATCGTAACGTAAAGTTGTGAGTGTTAACACTGTGAAGAATATAATTTTGTTTCTAATTTAATTAGTAAATAATAATATAACTTGAATATAAATTGAAGCAAAATTTGTGAGGTAATGTATGTATTTCCTTGTAAAGTGTGAAAACAAGCTAACGTAAATTCCGAAAAACTTATATCCGGCAAGTAGGCCAACTTTTAATTGCAGTTTTTTAACAACATTTTAAAAGTTCTTCAAAATTAACTGTACTGATTGTAGATCCTAGAAATGATCTAAATTTTATAATATTAACTTTAAATATCATTCCTGTGTAATAATAAAGATTTAATATTTTGTTATGCATCATAGTTATTTGGCACGAAATTCAAATAAATTTTGCTTAAAAATAAAATTTTTATCAATAAGTAATAATTGAACATGTGTGCAGTCACGAAATGATGAAATTATATTGTAATTGTATGAAATAGCGACTGTTCGCTAATTAAATTCACATGCCAACAAGTTAATAAAATGTGAAACCTGTTTTAAAAATTATAGACTCTTTTCAATGGTAGGCATCTGATTCCTTCCCAATCAGGGAGAAACACTCAGTTATATTATATCTTATACTCTATATTAAAGCTAAAGTTTCTGTTTGTTTGATTGAACACCCCAATTTCCTACTGGACTGATTTCAAGAATACTTAAAAACATCATGCTATGACTAAAAGGAGCCATCACCTGAAACGGCATGGGAGTAGCTGGTTCTATCAATCATACTATTCATAAATAACACACTAATTTTCCATAAATTTACATAAAATTTCCATATTGATTCTCTCTACCTACTTTTACTAAAGTATTAGTATATAGATATGAACTTGTTTTTTTTAATGATTACAGATAATTTGGACACTTTTCTTTGAGTAAGATGCCTTTCTTCAGCGGAAAATGTCTGAGTACAGCCAGACTGGTTGGCAAGACCGCAATTATAACTGGCTGCAACACGGGGATTGGAAAGGAAACGGTCTTGGATTTTTATAAGAGAGGTGACTAATGAATTATTAGATTATAATTTTTTTGCATGTCATGTTGCATCAGTATTTTTATAAAACACTGATAGTATCGAGTGTAACTTAGTCTTCATGACCTGACAATATTTTTCAACATAATATCACACCCTTTTTATTCCAAAAGGGTTGGGTAGAGTTGCACATATGCACAAATGCAAGACCCACTTTTCACTGGTAATGTCATAAGTCCTAAGAAAAGGGGGGTGAAGCTACCTATGACGCACAATTCCAGACTGCTATGTTTTATAAAATCGAAAATAGTACAATATTGAATTTGTGATTTGTCTAACCCAGGTTTCGAACCGAAGACCGCTTTTTCGGCAGTCACTTGCGACCATTAAACCAATGAGTATTTACAAATTATCTAATCAAATAAACACCATTTATTTTCAGGCGCGAAAGTAATAATGGCGTGTCGGAGCCTGGACAAGGCGGAAGAGGCGAAATCTGACATTGAGGAACGTTGCAAGGATTTAAAAGATACTGGCAACATTGTCCTAGCTAAATGCGACCTCGCCTCTTTGAAATCAGTGAGAGAATTCGCAGAGAATATTTTAAACACGGAACCACAGGTTAATATTCTCGTTAACAATGCTGGTGTTATGATGTGCCCCAAAACTGAAACTGAAGATGGCTTTGAGATGCAATTCGGGACCAACCATTTAGCACATTTCTTGCTGACCATGCTCCTATTGCCTCGTATCAGGAACAGCAAGCCAGCTAGGATTGTAACTGTGTCTTCTAGGGCACATATAAGTAAGTTTTACTTTAAGTCATTGCCCATTCAGCAATTAATCCCAAGACACGAATTTTATTAGTTATATTTCTGGACTACACTGGTAAAAGCAAGAAATCCAATAATATTTTGCTTTACCGAATCGTAAAGACTACTAGTTCGACCAACAAACTTGCCTCCACTCGACCAGCGAATGCAATTGCAATCGTCAACGAACTTTTAAATGTAATTAGGAACTTTTAAAGAATATTAAAATCTAGTTATTATGTCCAAATGTCTATGTATGATGGTAACTAATCGTTCTGTAACCTTTCAGGGTATGGCATCAACTTTGATGACTTGAACTACAAGAAGCGCCGCTACAACGCGGCTGAAGCGTATTCCCAGAGCAAGCTCGCCAATGTACTATTCTCCCGAGAGTTAGCAGCTAAACTAAAGGTAATATTCGAATCGCTTAAGTATTTCTAGATTATTACAATCTGGTGAACAAAAAATGGTAGAGCCCGTTGATCAATAGATGGTGGGCCTAACTATATCGCACCTCGACTCAGGAAATCCTACATTGTGGTAGCAAAATCTACACGGAAATGGGAACTCGCAAATTCTCAACCTAGTACAATTTATTGACTATTACTATATTGCAAGATCGTCCCTTATACGAAAATTAGAATATATGACCACAAACTAAACATTTATTATTCTTTTTTTTAGGAGCACAACATAGAAGGTGTGAACACATACAGCCTGCACCCGGGCGTGGTGCAGACGGAGTTGGGTCGTCACTTCAATGAGACGCTGTTCTGGGGCGCGCGGAAGATCATCGGCTTCATCCTCTACCCGTTCATGAAGTCGGTGGAGCTCGGCGCACAGACCACCATCTACTGCGCTGTGGACGAGAAGTGTGCTAATGAAACCGGCTTGTATTACGCGTAAGTTTACATTTTACATAAATAACCACATACATTTTTCAATGAAGCGAAAGAGGTATGTAGGAACGTAACTGGCGTTCCATAGTCTCTGCCTACCCCCTTGGGAGACAGGCGTGAAGTTATGTATGTATGTAATTTTTCAATCTGCCTCCGATCACAAGCCGAATCTTTGGATTTTTCAAGAGACACTGTTGAGCAAGGCCCATTCTCTAAACTCTCTTGATAAGTCATAATCTGCACGCTTAGCAGGCAGCTACGGTTGTCCAAGCAGTCAAGGCAGTTTTATAAGTCCCTACATATTGATGAAATAAATATTATTTTTCAGTGATTGTGTCCCAACCAACACATCAGCTAAAGCTCAAAAGGATGAAAACTGTAAGAAATTATGGGATATGTCAGTCGAGCTGGTGAAGTTGGGAGACTATAACCCTTTCACTGCACCCGATCCAGGCGTTAAGAACAATTGAATCTTCTAGAATATTGTAAAACTTCAGCGAGGGCTACTGCAAGTGAGTTCGCCGCTAGAATGGCTAGTGTAGCACTGTAGCTTTTTGCTAATGTGAAGTCATTCGACATTCAATTTTTAACAGCTACAGTAGATATTAGCGCCACCAGGTTGCTTACTCTTGAAACAAATCTCAATGTCAATGTAATTTCAATCCAATAAAATCTCAATAATTATTCGATGTCAAATCTATCAATCCTAGCTGTTAAGATAGCATTCAGAGTACGGCACATAAAACCAAACTCAATATATTTAGTTCATTAAATATCCGCGCAATACGGATGCAATGGGCGTAGTGTTGCAACTCAAGAGTACCAAATTTCATAATACCAATGTCGATCGATCGGAATTGGATTCAAGAGTAAACCCCCTGGTAAATAGCACAACGGTAATCTCCATTATGTCATCAAAGTACGTGATGAATACTGCTGCAAAGTACTAAAATTATTGATCGACAGCTGCAAGCATAATTATGTATAGCTCGATCTCTTTTCCACTGCAGTAATGGTAGACATGACAGGTGTAGCTCTTAAGAACATTAATCAATCATTTAAATACTGGAGATTGGAAAGTAGGTACTTACCTATGTGCACATTGTTTATAAAAATCAGAGTCTATTTAAATGTTTATATTTATATATTTATTAAACCTATGTAAGATCAAACCGTCCGTCTATTCCGCACAGCACAAAGTTTTTAATTTATTATTAATTTTAAAGTAAAGTACAGCCGAACTGTACAGTGAAGTCGTAGGTCTATACAGCCTACACATCTTCAGTTAAATCTGTACAGTTTAATTTTTTGCTCTACACACCTTCGATATGTACAGTTCGACTGTACAGTTAAATCGTAAGGTGTGTTTTGTGCATTAAATCTACTAGTTGTCTAATTCGATATAGATTTTAAGCTTTAACACTTAGCATTAAAGTTCACAATTCGTAAGTGTTACAGTTTGATTCGATTTGTTTAGACGTTTACACTTTTTTGTGACGTCATTGTCGTTCGTAAAATAGCATCGTAAACGTTTTTATATAAAGTTTTATAAAAATTAATATAATTTTATTATTGATGCATAATATACATATTTTTTGCTTTTTTTTTACTTATTGTTTATCTGGCTAATCTGGCATAAGTGTTCTTCATTTTCAACCGACTTTAAAAAAAGGAGGAGGTTCTCAATCCGATGCTTTTTTATTATACAACTTGTTATATACATTATCTGAAAACTTTATAGATAACGTCTATTTTTGTATTGTATCTCAACTTAAATAATGCATTCATTGTAAATTTAAAATGTCCATTTTATTTTTATTAGGTAATTTGTAAGCGAAATTGTTCTAATGAATAGATAGGGTAGACGATTATTTTTTATTTTAATGTCCGTCTGGTAGATTATTTTAAAACTTTAGACACATTTATGTCATTTTATTACGTACAGAGAAATGACGATATATGATCTTCCATATAATTATCGTCATTTCTATGTACGTTTTATACTTAATAATTACGTAGCAAGCTCACACTCATAAATTTTGATTTGTTCTATCTACCTAGGCACTGTTTTCTTATAAGTACGCCAAAATAAAAGAATAATAATATCTATCTATCGTGTCTAATATTTTTTCATAATCTAACTGACGGACTAAATAAATAGGTGTTTAACATATCTATTATTGATATTAGTATTTATTTTTGAAATAATAAATTTTAATACCTCTATATACAACCGGTTTTTATTAAACTTGGCTGCCTCCTTGTATTTAGCTACAAATTGTTAAATTACAAGCACCATAATTACTGAATAATTACAATACTAATGTGTCTGCAGTAATTCTAGAGATCCCTCGTGAAAAGCTTAAAATTATAATTATAATATCTATAGATAAATAATATACAGATTTCGACGGATGTTAAGACTACAAAAATAATGTTTTTTTACTTTAAGCATATGTGGAAGGTTAGTCAATTTAGCTTGTCAGTTTTTTTTATTACCTCAACTCCTATTAACCGATTCATAAGTCCTGCAAAAAATACTAGACCTATACAGTATACCTACACAGTGAAATCTATTTCGTTTCGTCCTGTGGCTAAAAAAAAATTATTTATAATGAAGAACTTTCGATGCAGTAAAAATAAAGATGTCATTTTTATGCTTTCACAAAAATATTCATCGACTTACGCACTTGAGACATTTTTTTATGGGGGGAAAATCATCGAATTACGCACGCATTACCGCGTACGCTCGGGTCTGGTTCTGTTTGGGCGGCGAGCCACCCATGCTCGCTGTCCGCAGGCCCGCGCACTTGAGACACTAGGTGTACCTTTAGAGGCACACACCCGATGAGAAATCCTTCTTCGAGATTTAAATGGCGTGATGTTTTGATAATGTACTATGAGTTCGTATGCGCTTTCGAAGTTTGCTTTTTCCAATGGCTCACCATTTATTTTTGGTTTTTAAAATTTTAATTCTATGTAAAACCATTTTATTATCTAGACAGAACCATTTTACTTCGGGACGAAAACGATGTAAATTTTGCGGTGTTTTTGTTTATGCACATGTGTATAAAGGCTAACAAGTTTGTTTAAATCAGTATTCACGAGAATGTGTCTACCTAAGACAGTCGTTGCTTAGTTAATCAGTTAATTGCCAAGAGTATCACAGAATGGACAACATCAGTGGTTGGTGCCACAGTAAGCGGAGACTGGAAGGATCTACGGTTGTAGTGACTGGGGGCAACGCGGGGATAGGCAAGGAGACTGTCTTAGATTTATATAAACGAGGTAAGTTTATTTATCTCATTTTAATATTTTCTGTTCCTAATTCATTTACCTTTCGACACACAAAAGGATATGGGCCACTCCTTTTTTGAAGGGAGAATAATGGTCTAATGACTTCTCCCGCTCGGGTACGGCGAAAGGGAGTGTTAGACTCTTACTGATTAAAAATCACACCGTCCCTACTCTTGCACTTCGAGCCGGAGCCCCGGCAACCCTCTAAGTCCTCTATAGGGGCTTCACCCCATCTGTGGTGATCTGAAGGCTCTTTCTCGGGTCTGGTTCTGGTCGGGCGGCGAGTCACGCATGATCGCATGGACCACCCCTCTTGGTACCTAATTATCTTTTTAAGCGCTCTTATCTTAGGTACTTAAATTTTAGTAAGGTGCTACTTAGGCTTCCGCTTAATAGTTTAAGACATTACTTATAACAATTAAGTAGGTATCTACTACAATTAATTACCTATTTAGGTGGTGCTACTGGTTTATTAAAATATTTATTATCATGGTGTTACGGACCATATTATCATAACTATAGAGTTCTTCATCAATGAATGCTGACGTCACGTATTGGATTAGCTGCCAAAGGGCATTGATTAAAATTGGTGCCTTTCTTTTTTCTGGCGGCAGTCGATGATTTATGGAAAATATTATCTAGAATGACATTACAAACGAAATTGTCTATGGGCTTATATATGGAAATCTCAGTCTGGACTGAGATATGAGCGTTGAAAGGAGCTGGAATCAAACATTTCACTTCGGTTTTTTATTCAAATTATTCATAGTTTTGTCACAATTTCTAACTTCAAATTGCGCGCCACTGTACTCCGGGCACAGGACAACCATATCACACCACAATATATTCATATTGCCAGGCACTAATTCTTATTACCTATTTTCTCTCAGTCGATAACTTGTGGGATGCTTCTAGGAGTTGTGTCATGAAGCTTCATGAGCGTCAGCTGTGGTACCAGTGGTGGGTTGAGTAGTGGTAGCCGTCCAAACATCTAATAAAGTATATTTTTTTTGCCATTGACTCCTGGTGGGACTCTCATCTACTTAATAGTTAGCATAATCTTTTGAAGAAAGAAAACCGTCGACTTTTAAAGTTATCAGCGCTATTCAATCCGCTACCGACGCCGAAGCTGACAAACATAGCATTTCATGATAGGGCTCAGTAAAGTATTTTGCGGGTTTTTGACTGAGAGGAAATTGATCATGAAGATCTGTCATAGGCCATAAACCTGTAAAATTGAACACGCTAGCCAATCAAGCGAAATGTTTCTTTTTCTTCAGCAGTGGTCAGTTAAGTAATGGTTCACTCTGACCTGATTCAGTGGCTTTATAACAAAAAAAAAAAAAAAAATAAAAAAAAAAAAAGTAAAAAAGTCCACAATAAGCTTTATTATATTCCTTGAAATCGTTTATAAACATTTATTACAAAATATTTCTGACAAGTAAATGAAGAAATATGCGTTGTGTACGGTCACCATCAACAAAATAACAGGAATAAATATACCACTATTTTCACATCTTTGAACTGATTTAACTCGGTTTGGACTGTGTTTTTGATATAAGGCCCCATATATTTTTTTGTTTGTAATGTTATTCTGCATCAGTTTTTCCACATTCGATCAACTGCCGCGAAAAAATGAAAAGGCACCACGCTCCATACAAATTTGGTCATTGTCATTTGCTCCCACAACCTCTTCTCTTTAGTAGGTTATGAATGTGTCCTATATTGCTTTAACTAGGTATAGGTACTGTCTTTCAGGTAGCCGAGTAATAATGGCTTGCCGGAATGTGGAAAAAGCAAATGCAGCCAAAGAAGAAATTGAGGAGCAGTGCAAGACACAGGAAGGTACGGGCACGCTGGTCGTGGAACAGCTGGACCTGTGCCGGCTGGAGAGCGTGCGCGCGTTCGTGCGGCGCGTGGCGGCGCGCGAGCGCAGTCTGCGCGCGCTGCTGTGCAACGCGGGCGTCATGATGTGTCCGCTGGCGCGCACGGAGGACGGCTTCGAGACACACATCGCCTCCAACCACCTCGCGCATGCGCTGCTCGCGCTGCTGCTGCTGCCGCTTCTCATTCGAGACTCACACTCCAGGATCGTCTTCGTTTCATCTATGATTCATGAGCGTATGTGAAAGTTTACTAAAGTACCTACAGACTACAGATACTACGGACTTTAAGGTGGATCCATTATTTTACAGTTATGTTTAATATTTTTTCAGTCTTCAGCATGGATATGAACGATATCAACTTTATAAAGACTCCGTACGGACCATTACAGGCGTATGCCAATAGTAAAATCGCTAACATTTTGTTTGCGAAGGCTTTAGATCTGAAACTTAAGGTGAGTGCCTACAATGGGTAGGTAATTAGGTACCTACTTAAAGTTAAAAGATAGATTTTGTGTGACTAACTTTAGGTATGCAGGAGGCCAGGTATGACAGGTACCTATAATACCTAGACTTCAGAAAGCCATTCGTGTAAGATTGAACAAGCTGAAATAAATGATGCATGCATGGTGTCAAAGTGCCAACAACAAGCAGGTAAGATTACACAATGTTAGGTACGTGTACAAACTGTAAAGTATGCCGCAGCAGCTATGCTAAATGTGTCAGTAGGTATGTCATGTCATCAGTACCTACTTAATTTGTACATTGTCACAAAGTGCAATGTATTAGTATTCTGCTAACGGGGGATGCAGCCTGCATCCTGCATAATAGAGTAACTAAACACTAACCTACTTACCTAGTAGTAGCACTAGTAGTCTATCTGGAAGTCATTGAGGAGCTATGTTCAGCAGTGGATGTCTTTTACCTGATGTGATTATTATGATAACAGGTGTTTTACAATTTCAGGAACACAATATAAAAGGCGTATCAACATATAGCTTACATCCAGGTATCGTGAAGACTGGAATAGCCCGATATTTCCCAGAAGCAGGCTGGTTAGCATCCATCGCAAACTATCTGTTCCACCACTATCTTCTGAGTTGGTGCTGGAAAACTCCTCGATGTGGTGCGCAGACAAGCATATATTGTGTTGTTGATGAAAAATGTGAGAATGAAAGCGGCTTGTATTACAGGTACATACCTAATTATGGTAATTTGGATGGTTGTGGTTAAAGTGAGGAAGACTCCCAGAAACTGATGACGAATTGAAGAATAAGGCATAGAACAATTTTTCTTTAGTTAACTTAAAGCTCGTATTGGAACCTACCTTTTATTTTGATGAGGGGGGCAACCTTCAAAAGGTACCTAGGTTTTTGGGGAGAAAGACTAGGGAGCGTGGGATTTTATCTCTCTAAAACCATCCCAGGTGCTCCTTACAGGTACTATGGGTGCCTGTAAGGAACACCGGGTCTTAATAGACCTACTCCGGAGGCCCCACAGTGCAACGCCTGTTACCTCATTCATTTGGTATTGCGAGTGCCCATGATTATTATGTAGATCCATCTATTCGTTTCTCTAAGTTTGGGAGGATCTTGTTCTTTACACAAGTCTATAATATTGTGACATTTCTATTTTAGCGATTGCGCGGTCACTACGCCTTCCAGGCAATGCCGCAGTGTCTACGAAGCGGAGAAATTGTGGAACATCACAATCGACATGCTCAACCTACGTGACCACGACATTTTCGGAAATGATGCGTCGATTAAACATTATTAAGTAATGATTTTTGAAGATTAAATAATTTTGTATGGTTTTTAAGTAAGCACATATACACAGATGAATAAAATCGGCGTGTCTGTTTGTAATATTGAAATAACTTTTTACTACACCTATATGAATATATATGTATATACAATATATAGGTATACTTACCAAAATAATGCTTTTTACAATTTTTGTACTGGCTAATCTCTGAAATGGCTGGACCGATTTTGAAGGGACTTTTATCGACAGGTAGCTAAATGTAGGCTACTTTTACAAGTAACATAGGCTAATTTTCCCGGTCATTAAAGTCCCAGGGCTTTACCGTATAGTTTCCGTTTTTGGAGATAAAATTATCATAGATAAGGTTTCCCAGGTCTCGAATAATAGGTAATTATTTTTGTGTCCATTTATCGAGTAAGGCTCTATAGCCTATCCTGTGATAGGTTAGTTAGTACCTAAGTATAAAGGATCAATCTACGATGTGATTAAGGCGTACCTACTTACTCCACACTTTGGTAACTTCGGTCTTCGGTCTGGTGTGTTCACTTTTTTATTTTTAGTTAGACATGTTTTAAGTATAATGCTGAGTAAGTGGCTTACTGTTAACTGACGAATTAAAATATAAACTGAGTTATTAATAAAACATACAAGGAAACTCGAACAACTTGGAGTACATAGGTAATGAGTACCTACATAATACGAACATTACTCATTGTTTTAATGTTATATTATTTATTCTTACTTATATTTCTGTACGACGGGTTTGTTTATAATTTAATTATGGACTAATGTACAAATGCTGCCGTATCATCGATCGACTGAGTTGTCTGACCGCGTCTGGCATTCGTTATATTTACTAATTCACTAAACGCCGGACCTTCGCACCGCGACCTTGTGATTTGATCAAACAATTTGGTGGGGACATGTTTTGCAATAGTTCAGAGATTATTCACACAAAGTGAACAGACTAAACACGTATCTAAATTCGTAAAGCTCTGTTAGTGCGCTCATTTTTTATTATTTTTTCAACTGTGACGTCGATGTTTGTTTTCGAATTATATAATCTTACTCCTGTTAAGTACGAATAGTAGTGCATGGACTGCAAAGAGAGTTAGTTATTTGTGTTTTGAATAGTGATAACTAAGTTGATTAAGACTGTAATGAGGCAAATAATTATCTTGTATATGTGTAACGAGTGTACACTTATACAGTAAACATTCGCAATTTGCGCTGAATACACCTGTAGGCTTAATTAGTTGGTTTTTATAATTCATCCGAATTAATACAGTAGATAACCATGGATTACCTAAGTGGGTGGTGTAAAAGTAAGCAACGGTTGGACGGCTACACGGTCATAGTGACTGGTTGCAACACTGGTATTGGCAAAGAAGCCGTTTTGGATTTCTACAAGAGGGGTAAGTACGAGTACCTAACAATTTCTATACCTTCTATCAATTAACTAGGTTATCTTCTTTAGCTTTCGGGGGATCTATGGGAGTTTGGTTCTTTGGGGAAGTTCCTATGTGACATAGGCAGGGAGCCAGACGCTCGGTGCCATCACTGCGACCGTTGTAAGACGAGGACAGCATAGCATATCCTCGTTGAATGATTGACTTGGGATCAGTCGCGTCGCGTCCTTATATTAGAGATCGGTGACGACCTATAACTGCAGACTATTGTCCAGAAAATAAGAGGCAGTGCGAATGCAGTGGTGTCTTACTGCGAATGTATCAATGAAGGAGCGGACATGGAAAGGGACTCTTCTCTACCCTCCCGAAACAGGCGCTCTGGGTGAGAGCATGAGCAGCAGAATGAAAGCAGAAATTGAACTCTGGCGACAGTTACAAGTACACGAGTACTTTCATTGAGTTGTGCGTTTGTTTATAGGTGGGCACATCATAATGGCTTGCCGGAACATGGAAAAAGCAAATGCAGCCAAAGAAGAAATAGAGGAGCAGTGCAAGACACAGGAAGGTACGGGCACGCTGGTCGTGGAACAGCTGGACCTGTGCCGGCTGGAGAGCGTGCGCGCGTTCGTGCGGCGCGTGGCGGCGCGCGAGCGCAGTCTGCGCGCGCTGCTGTGCAACGCGGGCGTCATGATGTGTCCGCTGGCGCGCACGGAGGACGGCTTCGAGACACACATCGCCTCCAACCACCTCGCGCATGCGCTGCTCGCGCTGCTGCTGCTGCCGCTTCTCATTCGAGACTCACACTCCAGGATCGTCTTCGTTTCATCATACGTACATGCAAGTACGTTAGTGTAAATCTATACTTATATATAAAGCTAAAGAGATTGTTTGTTTAACTAAAACTCGCGGGTTACTCATGTGAATATACTGAGAAAAGCTCTACTAGTTTCGAACCACAGAGGGGTTCTTCCTCATGAGCAGCGTGTGCGGTCGCGACTGAACGTGAGTAACCCGCGAGTTTTAGGTAATTTAATATGTCTCACGATAGTTATTATAAAAAGACTGTTTGTTTGTTTAAACACGCTAATCTCCGGATAACTCTTCATCCTCTGTCTCCATTCCGATACATTCTAGGCTGACTCGATAAATCTTATGGTTACAGAACATAAACTAGACCTGGACGATTTGAATTTTGAGAAGAAACCTTACAACGCCTTTGAAGCCTACTGCAGAAGCAAATCTGCTAATATTTTATTTGCCAGAGCTCTTGCTGATAAGTTGAAGGTATGTGCATAATAATATGTAGGTTCTAGGTACTGATACGAGTACTAAGTATACTTAATTAGTTGGAGTTGGTAGGTATGTTTTGTGGTACTGCTCGGTGCTGCTGCGTAGCGCTTTAAATGATTGCTTTAATGAGCTATTGTGTTTTATCTCACGGTGTCTTTCAAACCTTTTAATTGGTAGGTACCTTTTCAAGAATAGGTACCTACCTACTCATAATATAGGTCCATTACGTGGTTTAAGATCGTAGGTGACGTGTAGGTAAGGTACCTACGTGGAGACACGGCAATGTTTCAATAGATGTCCTTAGAACAGTACCGTGTCTCATCATCTTGTAAATCGTCAGTGTATTGACCGACCGACCTACAGACTACCTATGTTATCAGAATGTGATAATCTACAATAGGATTGGGTACCTACTTAGTTTGTACATAACACAATAGCAACTAATAAGTCGCCTTTATGAGTCACCATTATGCATTCTGTGTGATTAATATATACTTTGAAACAAAAAATGTGAATGAAGATAATGATCAAGAAAATCATTAGATAAAGTTACCTAGTATATAGGTATCTAATGTTATTCTTAATCCTGTAAAACACTGAGTTATTTTTATATCAACAGCAGTCAATCTGTGCCCGTGATGCGTCCTTCTAGATAGGCGGAGGCGTCGACCTTTGTCTTTTATCAATTTGTACCATTTAGCTAAGTAGATAGGTAGATGCAGTGACCACGCAAAGTATACATATAACGATTGAACACAAGTGAAGATCAAGTTCTTTGCATCCACTGCTCTCAAGCTAGAAATAAGCTGATGACATTAACGTGAGACACAAAACCACGGTCTTTTCAGTGGAGATCGAAGACTTTTGTATCAGTCTACTGTCCATATGTGAACTATTAAATAAACTTTGTTTGTTATACAGGAACACAACATAAGAAATGTGACGACGTATAGTTTGCACCCCGGTGTTATTCGCACAGATATCGGTCGGCACTTCGACGAGACCGTCTGGTATGGCGCGTCATGGCTGTTTAACAACGTGCTCGGTCTCTTCTTGAAGTCACCGCAGTGTGGCGCGCAGACCTCTGTATACTGCGCTATCGATGAATCCTGTGCTGATGAAAGTGGGCTTTATTATAGGTATGATTTTTATTGCATAGGTAGGGCGATAAACGATCAAACGTATCTCCTAATGGTAAGCAATCGGCGTCACTCATGGACACACGTAACACCAAAAGAGTTACATACACAACAATAAAAACTACCGCAAAGTTAAGTTCGATGGTTCAATAATTTTACCGTCACCACTCGATAATGGCAGTATAGTCGACAAAACCGTTTTGGAGACTCGGTTGCCCAAAAAGAAGAAAAAAAAACAAGTACATTGTTGATCTTTTAGACGAAGTTTGAGGGTCGGGGATTAGGGATGAGGGGGCGATAGTCCCCCTCGTGGTATTATCGGGGAGGGACATCAGTATTTTATTCAGTAGGTTTGTAATGATAGATAAAACAAAAAAAAAATACCTAAATAAACGTTGAAAAAGAAAGTTTAAAGTCCATTCACACAACAAAGGCATGCTGTTCTATAAATGGACATATAGATTTAGGTAGACACGTATAACACAAACAGAAATGTATGATGATATGAATGACTATCTAATTAGACACTGGTCACGTAGGTACTTACCTACTTAATTATTTTATCTTACTATTGGTAAAAAAACTTAAATTTTTTTTTACTCGGTTGCCAAAGAAAAAAATTTTTATTTTTAAATATCTCTGAACCTCACGCTAACGCTATCGTGCTCTTATAACTCATAAGTCTTAAGCTATGATTAATTAAAGGCATTTATTATGTCTACCTAATATCTATATAATTCTTGTACTATATATCTATAATTTTTTGCCTTCTTAAAACTTAATATAGGTAGGTACTATGTCTACTATAAAGTAATATTTATATATTATATTATATTTATATATATATATAAAGTAATATTTATATATATATACTATAAAGTAATACTATAAAGTAATATTACTATAAAATAATATTTGGACTTATTTGGGTCTCAACTACAAGTTGAAGTTGTGTCTAATTTCTATATTTTCCGTCTGTTTCAGCGATTGTGCGGTGACTCAGCCATCGAAGCAGTGTCAAGATGAATCTCAAGCAGCACGACTGTGGGACCTTACCATTCAGGCACTCAAACTGGATCTAGATAAATATAATCCTTTTGATCCAAATACTCAAATTAATTAAGATTCCATTTATGATTACTTAAAGAATAAAGACTGGAGTTGAACTTAAGTGTCTAAGAGACCAGACAGTGTTTTCCTAGGTAGCTAGCTGGTCTAATTCGAAATGCCTTTAAGCAAGTCTAATATTGTGGAATCTAATAATGTTGTAAAATAATATTAAATTACTAAATACCGATATATTGATCACCTTTTGTTGTTTCTGAACAATAATTTAATTCCCCAAAGGTTCAGTGGTTTATTAAACTCGATAGATTTTTTTTCATCTTTTCCTGTGTGATACCATTTAAGTACTTACCTACCTTCTTAACAAGGTAGTGAGTGGTAGGTACCTAATTATAGTAGACACCTTTGTCAAAGAAGAAAAAAAAATAGAGACACCTACAGTACCGAGTCAAAATATAGCATGCATGACTATTTAGATAACTGGTATTTTTGTAAACACTTAGGTCTAGGCATCTATAGGTATATGGTACGTAGATCATAAGATTGTAATAACTTAATTACCATTAAACTGTCAAATACCAAGCGGTCACCGGTGACCGCAAGCTATTGTTCTATAATTGTGTCTGCAAAACCGGTACTCGACGAGTTAAACAATTACTTGATGAATTGGAATAAATAAGTAGGCGATGATTAATCCGATATATTGCCATCATATTATTTAGTACCTTATCATTAGGTATAGTTAGGTGCTTAGGTCGCAGACATTGCGGATTGAGGTACCTACTTACTTACCTGGGTATTAATTGTGATTGGATTATGTGGATACTGGACTTGCCTGGCTTCAGATTTACCGGCGTTACCGGCCTTTTGGGGATTATGAATTTAAGGATTGTTGGGGATTCAGGGATTGGGGAGATTGGGGAGTTGGGCCTCCGGTAACGTCACTCGCACGACGATGAAACACCGCAAGCGTGGTTTTCTATAAGGCTGTGGTATTATATTCTCTGGTCGAGCCGGCCCATTCGTGCCGAAGCATGGCTCTCCCATAGGTACTTAAAATACAAATACTATCTGAACCTTTTATACTGCAACCTACACCTGCTAAACATGGAGTTTATAGTAAACTAGAAGGCAGAGAAGGCGCATAGTCCAGCAATGGGCTGTTGATTAAATTACGTAAACACAGACTGGAATAACAGGTAACTAAGTATAATGTTTACTTAATCGTCTGCGTTATTTCGAACAAGGCTACACGCTCAAGGTAGAAGTAATTTGATCATTTGTTTAAATTACGTTTAACACGATCTGTAAAACTATTAGGTACTTAGCTATCAACAATTGAGATACTTCACGTAATATCGACAAGTTGAAATGAACTGGACGATTATAATCTCTTTATAACCGCAGTTAATTAGTTTTCCATTAGGTCTTTGTTACGTTTCCAACGATAAGTTCCGATTAGTAAACATTATTATTGCCGCTGTGTTGGTTTTAAGTAGAGCACAATTCAATTACTATCACGTTAGTACCTACGTGTATGTAGGACAGGCAGAAGATGAGGCGTCTCACGAAATAATAGTCAGTAGGTATTTTATTTCATTGCATTTATTTCTTTTAGAATAACTTGCGCAGATAGGTGGGTACCTACATTAATTAATTCAGCTATTATATGTATAACACAGATCAATATACTGTTATGTATTTGGGTTTAACTACAGACACATAAAATACTGTAAAATCATAATATATTGGCAATGCACTACAAGCATCGACTGAACTATTGCACACTGTATTGTTGCGGGAACAAGTATAACATAACATGCCACACATGTAATAATAACATTCATAAATGCTTCCAAATGTATAAATCAACTTTGTCTACTTAAAAATAATGTTTACAATAAATTAACTATAATCGCACTTACAGATTTACCCCTGATCCTTTCAGATATCCTCACAACTTATACATACAGGCAGAGGTGGAATATTTTAGAATTACAATTGTTTTTTTTAAGATCCAAATGTTCGACAGAAGCAATATTTTGCATGATTCAACAGATTTAGCTATAAAAATATATTAATTTAAATTTATCGGCATTGAATTGAAATATTTCATAAACAGCATAGCAATTATATATAAAACATTGATAAGTTTGGATTTTCAATATTTGGTTACCACATATTATATACATATGTACAAAATACAGATTATGTTGACATGATAAAACAGAGAAAAAGATTCATGTTTGTCATTATAGTGCTCAAATTGTTTACTGCTTATCTGTCTATGTGTATTCCAAGAAATATACATATTTTAAACAATATAAATAACAATTTGATTTAACATAACATCTCTGAAACAAATAAATAAATGTCTGTACACAATAAAACAAGTTGACTAGGAATATAACAACTTTCGGAAAACTTCGTATGAGGCATTTATGATGCCCCAACTTAGAAAAGCACGAGAGATGTTTAGTAAAGCTCCATGGTAGAAGTTGGCGAACTTTGAGCCTCGCATGTGCAAAATATAATTAAATTGATATCTTACTGTCCTGTGGGGACCACCAAGTTGACACTGCATTGCTATTTTAATTACATTCAAAGGGTAGTAGAGTGTACTGAGCAGAGCACCAATTGTTGCTCCAGCTAAGAAGTTCTGTAAGCCTTGGTAGAGTGCTCGTTCTTGTTTAGGGAGCCTGTCCTTTACTTCATCCCGAATTATAAAAAACAATGCATTGGTGGGACCGTTCCTAAGTAATATGGGCATTAATCCTCTGTAGAATTCCTTAATACCATAGTGCTTAGCAATATGAGTGGCTGCATCAGCAGTATTCTTAAACTTTTTGTGGTACTTTGGATGAATCAGTAGTGTTTGTACTCTCTCAAAAGGCATGAGAGTTGCTTCAAAGCAGCCTGCAATAAAGCCCGCACACGTCTTTGCAACATATGGATTCACTTTGCTTTCTAACAATGGTTGTAGGCATTCATCATACACTCCAAACATTAGGGACATTGAAAGTGACCTTTGCATCAAAGGAGGTAGCATTCCACGGTATAGAAAGGGCAGGCCTTCTTTTCGCAACTGGTGAAAGGCAAACTGTGTTTCGACTCCATGCATCATCTGAAAAGTTAGAAATATTACATATTGGCATCAATGTGAATCAGGATTAATTACATTTAATTATCATTTTACAAACCAGTTTTTAAACAAGATATGATAAGCCATTAATTTGAGCTTACATAGGTTTTGGATTTTTTATTATTCATCATCAACATATTTACATATTTTATTAGGTAAGTAATTTAAATTATACAAGGTTATTTAACATTTACGAGTAAACTATATTTATATTATTTAAATTATATAATAACTTAATATGTCAACAAATATAGGGTTTAAACTGTCAAACACCAAGCGGTCACCGGTGACCGCAACCTATTGTTCTATAATTGTGTCTACAAAACCGGTACTCGACGAGTTAATATCTTTCATTTATTTAAATATTAGAAATCTGATCGACTTAAATTGCAAAGGTCATTTACCAAGATCATAGTGTTCCATAATTTGCAAAAAAAACTATGCACACATGAATAGTGATAAGAGCCTTATCACTAGTGTGATAAGAGCTGCCCCCAGAGGTTTTAATTATTGTTATCATTTGTCTTAACCTACATTATGCATTGTTGTATAGGCCTTAATTTCTATCTTTAAAACTCAAGGTAACTCATGCATAATTTAAAAATGTCTATATTTAAACTGCAACCTTCATCAATAATATTATAAGATCACATTCAGATCTCACAATTTCAGTTATAATGCTATCATGTGTAATGTTGACATAAGTATTATGTAAATATATTGTGAATGTGTGTAAAGTGGACAAACTTACCTGTCTAAATATGAGTTTATTTAGAGGATAGCTTATGAGTATGTTACAGAATGCTGCCCCCCCTCCACACACAAATTCCTTCCAGTGACGAGGCAGCCTGGGCCGCACGCTCGGCACTGGCACTGGCACGGCGCTCTCTCCGAGTGCCCGCTCTAGGATATGTCGCTCAGACATTTCCTTTTCCTTTCTTTCACATGACATTATTTTTTGTATTCCATTGTCTGAAAACAATACATCTAACACAGTGACTCAAGTTTTATTCATAATACAAAAAGTTTATCAATAAAGCAAAAAGGACTGTAATATTTACGTCGAGCGTATCATACGCAAAATCAATGCACCTACCTGAAAGTTTATGACAACTAATTAAGATTTAAGCAATTAGATTACATAACGATTGAATAATTTACCTTTCATGAACTACAAATAATAAATAAAATGTTACGTGTGAGATGAAGAGCTAATAGCTTCATCCTTATTTCATATCAGACGACATTTATGGTTGTTGTTGTGAAGCAAAACAATATTATGATAGTTATAAAAATGTCTAAAATGAAAGTACAATACTGTTTGTGGTTAAAACAATTTTATAAATATTTTCCACCTAATGAAAGCAATCCTTTCCCGACCGACCATATGCAACTTGACAGTAGAAGTTGACAGTGACATTGACAAAATGAATAAGAATCATAGATGAGCAATAGGTACCATAGATGAATAATAATAGGTTCACACTCATTCATACTCATTGTCAGTTTCCAACTTCACTTTATACGAGAATATTTATAGTTTTTTTAATTTTTAAATAAAATAATCTTTAAAAGGCTATATTTATTATCCAATAATAATCAAGTATATTATTAGAAATTATTTATAATAGTCCAATGGTCCAAGCACAACTTGTTCATAATTAGTTCATAATAATTTTAGCTTATCGTTATCTGTGTGAAGGTGTGAAGTCTTGTTGATATGACAGTGCCAGCTGTCAAAATGTTGATGTTGATAGTGTCAGAAACTCAAACTGTTTCTGATATATAAACATGAAATAAACTATTCCTCGACCAGTCTTCTAACTGCACCTAACCAATTATCAACTCCACAAGGATATAAAATGGCAGCAGTTTTAAAGAAAAGAGCGTTGGCAGAGTACAATAAAGTGTTTCAAGTAAGATCCTAACCTATATCGCGGTAAGTACAATGGGTTCTAGATGAGATAGTAATTATTATTTTATAACGTATTTCAGGATGTCCCTGCAACTAAGAAGCTACATCTGGTCAAGAAGCCTTTGATAGGTAGCTCTGCAGCTGCATTCGTCGGGCTCTTAGAAAAGTGTAAATCCAGTGACGAAGCACTGCAACTCTTGCTGCGTATATCAGACTGCTTGCAGTTCCAAGAGTCTGATGTAGAGGAGGCTATCAAGAAGTTGTCTGAACACTTCCAGTCTGAAGAAGAAGCTGTGGTCAGAGTAAAAATACTTTGGCTGTTCTGTGACATCGGTCTTGAGTGCCCTGGAGCTAATCTGAATAATTTAATTGATGAGACAGCTCACTTGATTAAAAATGAGACATCACACAAGGTAAGAGAAGATCCTCATCTAAAAACAGATTTCTCTATAAATAAATCAAACCAGAAAACGCAAACTTACAAATTCTGCACTTGATAAGCATGGTGTAGTTTTAATGCCAATTTACTTTGAAACAGGTGATAGCACAAGGTATAGCCACACTGCTGAAACTAGGCAGCAAACTCAGTGATGACAAGATCCTGATGATGCGGCTGGTGGCAGTGGCTAAGGACAATCTGAAGGACACCAGCCATCAAGTGAAGTGTCGGTGTCTGCAGCTCATCAGTGAGCTGTACCCCATACACCTGGAGTCTGAGAGAACCACTGAGATGGCCACTGAGGCTGATGCTATTGTCAAGCTGCTTGGCGACTATTCACATGCTGAGGTAATATTATTATAATTACGTTTTTTCAATGAACATGCTAAATAGTCCGGTCATTCCAATACGTAATATGTTGTGGAATTGGAGGTTGTGGGAGAATGAATAATATCAGTTGTATGTTTTCTTAGAATTCAAAAGAGAGATTATAATGTAAGATCCAAACTGATTTGTGTCACATTTTCTGATACTAAATTAGTATAATTTTGAATATTTCCTTAGTTGTTGTGACATGTGTAATAAACTATAATATTACAGGATGCAAGAGTGCGCTGTGAAGCATTTCAGTCCCTCCTCACAATGCATGAGAGAGGACAAAACCTGAGTGCCTCCCTCTATGACTTGGTGTGTGTGGCTCTGTCTGATGACTATGAGATAGTCAGGGAGGTGGCTCTCAAGCTGGTCTGGGTGCTTGGCAATAAGTACCCTGAAAAGTAAGTACTTTGAGTTCTTGTAAAATGTGTTCTAGATTACATTGAGTGGCTTCTTTGGGACATAAAGACATCTATAATTACTAAAATTGTTATAGATATAGAAAACTTTTGTTTATATATAAAGGATAAAGAATTATTGGAGTAATCTTGAAACTGTTGCATTTAGTTATCTAAAACTAACATGCAGTATTTAACAGTTCTACCCAATATTCTAAATTCCATGTGAGGTCAAGTTTGAAAACAAGTTTTAATATAAAAATAAATAATATCCTTCCAGTACAATAACTCTATGCGACGGCGAGACAACAATGCGGCTAGTCGACGATGCGTTCGTACGCATCTGTTCAGCCGTGAATGACTTGTGCATGCAAGTACGTGCACTGGCCTGCACCTTACTGGGGACTACTCGCGCTGTGTCTGATCGATTCCTTCTACAGACCTTGGACAAACAGCTTATGAGTAATATGAAGGTATGTTCTCTGTCTTATGTAATCATTTATAGCCATTTTGTGCTTAGGTATTTGTAACTCGGTGTATAAGATATTAAGACGTACTATTATGAGGACGAAATATTATAAAAAGGAGTCTTCAAAAGTTTTGTGTACGGAAAAGTGTACCAGAATGTTTAAATAAATACGTATCATAGATATCGAATCTCGCGCATGCTAAATGCCACGTATTTTACTGTAAACTAGAGATACTGCGTCTGACTCAATATTAATTTTTTCTTTCTTAGAAAAAGCGCACAGCTCACGAGCGTGGCGCGGAGTTAGTCCGGAGCGGTGCGTGGGCGTCGGGGCGGCGCTGGGCGGACGACGCGCCCGGACACTTGCTACACCAGGACACTGTACAACTACTGCCCGGGGGCGCCGCCGGGGCGTTCGTACACGGACTCGAGGACGAACTCATGGGTACTCATTTATTCATTCTGTTACTACACATTTGCTTGAACTGCCATATTTTTGGACACTGGATAGTGATGTCTTTTCATGGATAAGAAATGAGCTTTGATTGCCATACCCGCTCAAGACTCAAGACGATGTAGTAAATTAGGCGGTAAATTCTTAGTAATAATTACCACTATAATATTGAGTAATACTTAGCGCGACCCGTGGAAGGCTTCAGAGACCCTTTGAACGACACTTGATCACCGGCAAATACAGTAAAGCACGACGAACATATATTAAAGTTAACCGAAATTCTATTTCTCATCCCCAGAGGTTCGCACAGCGGCAGTGGACGCGGTATGCCAGCTCTCCATGGAGAATGCAGTGTTTGCGACAACTTCGCTAGACTTCTTAGTGGACATGTTCAACGACGAGATAGAGGACGTACGTCTGCGCGCCATTGACAGTCTCACGCGTATCGCGCACCATATCGTACTCAGAGAGGACCAGCTCGAAACTATATTGGGGGCTTTAGAGGTAAGGGTTTTAACATAACGTCACTCCTTTTGATCCCTGAAGGGGTGCATCTCTATAAGACTCACTTTTAAACTCCAAACTGAGTGTAATTACGGAGAATTTGCGAAATTTCTAAAATATATCAATGATACTCTAGAGTTCGGGTTTGTAGTAAACTATAATAATGGGGTCTCGGGTTCGGTTCCC